TATTGGCATATGTGCATACTGTGCGTATGCCTCGATATTGCCTTAATTTACAAGAATTATAAGCAAAGATGGATAGTGGCTAGCAGTGGAATCCAGGACGCGCGTTTCGTCCTATTTGGGACTCGTCAGCTTGATGTACCTGCATCTCAGAGTTGATGTTCACTCCGGGACTCGAACTCAGTACCGTCCGCTTCAAACGCCATCGCGTTATCCACTCAGCTACTGAGTCCTGAGAGACTGAACAATTTCAGTCCTAAACATCAATGGGAAGATTCAAATAAAAAAAACAGTATCAAGTGAATAAAACTTCACCCCACTGCACAAGCAAGCGGCTATCAGGACTCAGTAGCTAAGTGGATAACGTGATGGCGTTTGAAGCGGGCGGTACTGGAGTGAACATCAACTCTGAGATGCAGGTACATCCAGCTGACGAGTCCCAAATAGGACGAAACGCGCGTCCTGGATTCCACCGCTAGCCACCATCCATCTTTGCTTATAAACAAAAATGTTCAGAAGTTGAGTAAAACAAATACATTCAAAAACAGTGAAATTAACAATATTTAATATAAAGGTTTTATTCAGACAAATGTCTTCAGTTCTCCCGTAACAGATCGACTTATCTAATCTGGCTAGCGATTGCAGTAGATGTGGAGCACGGCGTTCCCACACGTGATCTGGTGTGGATGCGTGACCGAGCGCCTTCAGCTGGACGAGTCCATTTAAACTAATGTGGTCAGCATCTAATGTCGAATACTTACAGAGTTATTTAATTTGGGGATTTATCTATCGCTACAATATATTTATTTTTGTTTAGTTTGATCTCGAAAATAGATTGATTATGGTTTTTTTTATAAAAATTTACTCAGTCAATTACATTTCATCTGTTCATTGTTCGCTGATCACCCCAACACCGAGGTCGTCCAGATAGTAGGTGTAACGACCGAACTACTAGCATTCAGTTTGAACACCGGACTGACGAACCAAAACGTATTCGAATATATCAAACAACGATCTCCTGTATAGATCGCCAAGCGTTTTTGAGACACTCGTATTAAATTATATCGGAACAAAAACTCCGTGCTCAATTTATATGGTTCTAATTTAAGAAATAGAACAAATTATATCAAAAATACAAAATACCTCAAACAGTACTTCCTGTGCTATACAGTCAGAAGTTTGTCTAACGCAAAGCAGTGCGCTAAACAATAAAAGAAACAGTCAATACCAAAGGATTTGATACCTGAGAATCAACAAATATATTCCCAACAGACGGGATCAAATATCTATCTGCAGGGACTCCAGAAATCATCCCAAGCAGACAGTCAAAAGGTTGACAGTCGCACACTGAATCACGCCGTGACCTTGAGCTCAGTCAAACACGACCTCACTGTCAATAGTCCGGCAACATGCAATAAAAAACCAGATAAAAAAGGACAATTTTTTTAATCAGAATCACATAATATAAGCTCAATCGAGATCTGAACAAAGGTTAAAATATATGACATTTAGAAGAAACAAATAAATGAAAATACTGTCCAACAAAAAAGGCTGTGGAGGGATTTTCATCGTTCTGTTTCCGTTACAGTAGGTATGAATTCGCTGTTGAGTCATACAGCAGTTTTATATCGCATGCATGTTGAGGTCGGTTGGGAAAACTTCCAAAATTGCCTAAGGAGCATTGATTGGGGAAACTCTCTTATAAAGGATTGTAAATTATCAGGGTATGAAAGCAAAACACTAAGCAATTCACAAAAATGTAAGACATTGTGAGCTTCTGATGATCGGCCTTAGTTGATCAGCACCCAGAAGATTAGTGAGTTATCTGTCTACTTGTAATAGAACGAAGAACATGAAACTTAGGAAGAATAATGTAACTTTAACCACCAGATAGATTTGGAATCTGAAAGTGAGAAGTAGGAGCATAAAGGCGTGACTAATAATCAATGGAAAAGAGAATTCAGCGAAGAAAATTTTCTTTTTGACGAAATCATTTACTTAAGCTGTACATTCGTATATACGGTTATATGGAAAATGCATGTCTATAGAAGGATAGAAAGGATCTTATCACAAAAATGGATTTGAGAATAAATGACAAATGAGTTTAACGTACTAATCAGGGGGAAAGTAAAAACAAAATTTATGAGTCAGATAATAGTCCAACTGACAGATATGAAGAAAGGCGACAAACAACAAAGGTCATAATGAAAAACTGAATAATAATCAAGAAATCTTGTATGAGGTAATAATAATAAATGATTAGAGTTTAAAATGCAAAACAGTAATTTAAAAATATCGATAATAATCAAATAAAACTGCAGAAAAACACAACAACAAAATGCACACAAACACAGAGACATACTCACTAAGGGGATTAGAGCCAAGGAAGAATGAGAGCTTGGACAAATCGTTTCTGCACTCAAAGTTCAGGCTTGAGTTTTTGGATTGCCAATGCCTCAGCAGTGCATAAAATATTGATTAAAACCCCCTTCGATCCAGTTCCTTTGATCCTGTAGATTACTTTAAATGAATAGTACTTTGGTGCGATGTGTCCACAGTTAATCAAGTGCTGCTGTATCAAACTAGTAATTGTTTAATGTTCCCATTTCAAGAGTTAGGCCGGATAATGTTCCGAGATGCGTTTGGACAATGATCGCTTTGTGCGGCTCATGTAACGTACATGCATGCATTTTCCATATAACTATATATACGAATGTACAGCTTAAGTAAATGATTTCGTCGAAAAAAATTTTCTTCGCTGAATTCTCTTCTTCTTATTCGATGACACTATGGGTTATTTTAATTATCTAATCGATGAAAATTGGGGGAGGATAAATAATATGTTCTATTCATATTCGTATTAACGACAATGGAGTCCGTTATATTCATGATCGGCCCATAAAACGTACCTCATTGGTGGATCGGAGTTCAGGGGATAGTTGATGAGTCTCCTCACAGTCTAATATCAGGGTTATTAGTTTTTTGAACTTGGTGATATCGTCACGGTTACGGATAGGTATTGGCAACCCGCTCCATAACAAACTACACAACACTGTTAAAAAACTTACAACGTGCAGGAAGAAATCATATGTACCATATGTGTTGTCGACGTTACATTACGAGGGTGTTGAAAAGAGCTAAGAAGAATGCGAATTTCACACATCGTTTACATATTTTAAAAATTTATTGTGTGAGTTTACACAGTACAATAAGTTGGCTCACTACACCCGAGTCTTCATTCATTACAATACTATTTGAATGACGTACTGAATATCGTTGTGAGGAAGGTAGCTACATACATTACAAAAATTATTTGGTTGTGTTGAAATACCAGTTTCCTGGTGCTCATATATTTACCATGGAGGGATAAGGATACGTTAATCCGCAGTGTCAGGGTGGCATAAATCAGAACAATCAATATTTAACTGTTTTACCATATGCTTTATAACATTTCAAACTGACGATGACAATGTTTATCACTCTGAAAGTGACAATCGATTCGTCATCAATTTCTAATGTCTTTCGTTGACCAGCAAAAGTTTAAGGCATGTTAATCGTTCTTGTGACTTAGTGGTGATCCATGAGTCACTTAGTTTTCCGACTCTGAAAACCAGTCAAGCTCCTCCAACATTTAGAGCCACAGAGACAACTGAGAACCTCTAAGAAGTATAAATAACTACTGTCTGTCCAAACCGAGTCACAGACTACTTTCGACACCTACAAACCAGATAAATACAACTATTTAAGGACACCTTATAGTTTCCTGTGTCTAGAGATATAGGTCTCTCAGTTGTGACTATAGCTTTTTTATTTGTAGCATTAAAAAACGAATTTCACGGTTAATCAATAGAGATTGATGTCTTCTTGTGGTTACAAATCAAGATAAATGAGTTTTCTAGCTACTCCTCTGAAATATCTGTTCAGCGGACAAAAATCGTGTTTTAGTTATCATTCTGCATATTTTTATATCTGTTTGACAGGTTTTATACTTAAGGTGGGTGGTTTAATGGATATAGGTCGAGGACTAAAATGTACTATAACCAGCTGACATTGTGGTATCCAGAATACATAGAATCGCAGAATGCTTTTTATAACTCCTTTACATTATCCATTATGTTCCGAATCGAACAACAGCAATGAAAAGACAAATGAACAACGCTAAAATAATTCTGTCCTCTTGGCAAGAGGCCGCTAGAGTTGATGATACAAAGTCAGTTCCGATTTTTAGTTTCTTACCCAAACAATAACTGATTGAGGTATACTTAATTCCAAAATTTGTCATAACTGTGTATCGGTAAATAAACCCCCAAGATAAACAGCTCTGTAAGTCTTCGACATTAGATGCTGACCACATTAATTCTAATAGACTCACCTAGCCGAAGGCGCTCGGTCATGCATCCACACCAGATCACGTGTGAGAACGCCGGGTAAAATTCATTGTAGTAGAATGTGTTATTGGTTGAAGTGTTGTAAAACACCAAATACCTGTGGTATCTTCAAATGAAAGCCTCCCGAATTTCGTAGTCTCTATTGCATCGACGGTATCTACTCTACTGTCGTCCATTACTTTTGAATAAACTAAGGTAATTTTGGATACAGACCTCTGTCCCATTAAGTCCGTTAGAAGTTTCTTGCAATATTTTGCATCCAGAACAAGAAGCAAACAACGTTTTCCGGAGACCGGACAGTCAGACTATGGCATTCACTTCTGAAAAATTTTGCAATGACTACAGTTTGTGCGGCTTTTGGTAAACATAGTTCTGCATCCGATATTTGAACAGCCCTCTTCTCATAAGTAATCATTCAAGTGTTTTCTTTTTAAAATTCAAAACCACTTTTTCTGTCACTATTAGCACTCGCACGAATTCTTGATATATAAATCCTATATAAATCCTTAACCCTTAAATTCGAGAAGGGTAGGAACTATAAAGTAGCACGGATCAATAGAATCTGAGCCTGAAAACGAGAAGCTGAAAGTTCAATACGTTTGAACAGCAAGCCTTAGTAATGAACAGGCGCCTAAATACCGGCCAACGTTACCTCATGTAGATGTAGCGTTAGTTGTGAGTATTTTGTAGACTGTGGTTGTGATCTCGTTTATTGCTGAAATAGTGTACAGTTTTTCTCGTGCTCATCAATCCTAAACCTTTTTCATCGCAAAAGTTGGCTTCTCAAACTGTTGGAAAAGGGAAATAGTATAAACGAACTTGTTTAAGGAACAATTGTTGTGGCATCGCGTCACAGTCGTTCGCCACTTGAAATAAAAAGCCTACTAATAGGCCAAATTCCTTAAGAAGGTCATTTTGTGATTTGCCCTTAGGTGATTACCAATGATGAGAGTAAAATGATAAGCACTTTTAAACTACCAAACAGTCCGACTGATTTTGGTAAGTCGTTTACACGTTATAAGAATAGCAGACGACTTAATGTAGTACCTTGTGCTACTCATTTTTGCGGTGAGACTATTATTTATGGGCGATCCTTGAGCGACGCTAAAGAGGCCTTGAAAATGTCCACCTACCTGTCCCCATAAATCCGATTGGTTCGTCCATAAATTATAGTCGCCGTTTCGTATTTGATCTATTATGTCTTTTCTGAAGATGGAAGACTACTTCATATCTCATAAATAAAGCATTTTGTCGAATATCTTGGTGACGTCTGTGAATATTACATGTAGATCGTTATCTTTCGTAATAAAGTTAACCAGGTAGTGATGTCTTTCTAGACGCGTGTTTGTTCTGAGTCAGTAAATTTTGTGATTCTACGTGACTAACATGTCCCAAATTATTTTCGCTGATACTTTAGGTACTAGGCTTGTTAGAAATGAGGCAGAGCTAGCGATAACATCCTTCATGTCTCTTAGGGATAGGGTTTGAGAAAGACATATTGCAGTAGTATGTCCAATTTTACATTATTTCCCTCTAATCTTATAGTCATTGTCCTATATCTTCGTACGTTAGACTAATATTTCTCAACTTCGACTTCGATTCAGCGGATAAGATTACTTCGGTCCTCTTCCCTGCCATGCTAACTGAAGTAAAGAGATCAGTTTAGTAGTGAAATCTTTGTTGATGATGACTTCATTACAATTGATTGCATATCAATTGCACCTTTTAGAATGTATGGACTACGTATTTACCACTTAACACAAATCATAATCAGAATGTACTAAAGGTCCATAGGTGGAGTTCATACTGAATAATTTAATGTGACGAAAATTCATCTTGATCGGTGTTTAATTCCTTTCTCTTGATTTGTATTTGGGGACTGCACATCGACACCAGTGCTATTCCATACCTTCCATTCATTGGTTTCATTTTTTTTTCTTTGAGTTACATTACTTTTATCTTAATTTCAATGTTATTTTTACTTTGCCATGCGATTTGCCTTAAATCTGTTATTTCATTCCACTGTCTAGTTGAGAAACAATACTGAATTGACAGAGTTTCATGAATTAACTTTAACAATAATGATGAGATAAAAAAGTTGTTCGGTAGCCCCCAAATGCCCTGGTATGGTCGAAAGTGGGGTTGGTTCGCTTTCCCTCTCGAAATACTCTCACACGGACACGCGTATACAAGGAAGTCCTACCCACTGCCTTCTCGTGGCGGGGGTGTTGTTTACGAAAATGAGAGGACGAAAAGCGAACGTCCGGCGCTATAACCGGATCCCAAATCAATGGTGCACATGGGCTCCAGTATCCTGCGGGAATAAATGGCGTATGAACCAATCGTTGGTCACCGGCTACCATGGGACTGTATCTCCTTACGATGCTCCACTGCCTTGTGGGCCAGACATTCAGGTTGAAGGCTCGGGGTGTGGCCCCCTAAGAAAACCACCTGGTTGAGTTTGGGCACCCGGGCAGTATCACAGCCCACACACAAATATAATGAAGATGATGATATTCTTTGAAAACTCTGTGTGGCGCATATATATTTGGTGCCCCCTGTACCAATATCTATGTGTACAAATAAATAAATAAGGTAATCCTGGTTAAGTAGTCTACTGTAGTTTTCTGTTTTTGTGTTTACTGATTTAACTGTTCTGATTGATCAAATTGAACAAACATCGGTAACTTCGGCCTTTCTAGAAAGTTTTGCCTCTACTTTATGTAGTGCTCTCAAAATTAATGGTTATATACATTATATGCATAGGTTACCTTATATTTCTAATAGTCGTCAGTTAGATTGTCTCCACATTATATTTTATAAATAAAAAAATAGTTCCACTGACACTCATTCACATTCTTAACTTCAGTTTAAGTATATGTCTTGATTACCACCCATTTACTAACCACTTGCTTTTATACATTCTCTTTATCGTTATTTACAACTGCACTTTGTTTTCCTTTCATATGATTTCATTTTCAAATGTAAAAAATAATTTTTGTAGTCATATTAATAATGTTGTTCTCTCTTGGTTCCTATTTCATTTCGAACCAAACTTAATTAATTATGGTATGTAATGAAAGGATTTTTTCATGATAATATTACTGGTGTAAATTTAGGCTGTTTTTAGATGATGAGAAGCTCTGGAGTATAATGACTTCATATTATTCCAACAATCATGTTTCTGCTTTATTTACTTTTTTATTTTCATCAAAAATCAGTTATGTTGACCTTTAGGTTTTTCCTTCATATGAGTGTTGTAAATCTGAAGTTTTAAGTAGATGGAAATACGTCACATTTGTTCCTTTCCTAGTAAGCGTATGGTTTCCAACCTTCTTTCTTAAACCTAATCGTTATTTTTACCTTGTTTGTTACCTTTTTACAGTTCTGTACATTTTAAGTATGGAGGCCGATGAATATAATGGAAAAACTGTACTTGTTATTAACCATACACACATGGTTAGCTGTTTCGCTGGAGATGAATTAAACTTGGATGCAGGAGTTAAATTTGTAAACACAAAAATGATATTTCAGAAGTCAATTTGGAGCAACCTTGTTGAAGCCGTTATACAGTACTGTCGTGTTGTATTTGATATATTTTCTACCGAAAAACCTGTAAGTTTCTATAGATAAAGCATTAATTTATCAAGATATCTATAGTAACCTTTGATGATGAGGAAAAGATTCACTCTATATGGCTAAACGAGGATCAAAATTTGGATACAGTAAGTATATTTAACCTTAATTCACAATATAATAAGGTATGGAACATATTTTCTCAGGAAGGTCCACCGAAGATCTCCTCACTCAATTTTCTTGAACGTGGTTCACTTCCAGGTTTGTCTTCAGCCTGTCATCTCTTGCAAATGCTAACGCCACGTCAGAAGGAAATTAATTCTGGTAAGAACAAAGGAAGAGTAGTTGTCTTAAGCATGTCTATGAGGTAATAACTTTACAAGTTAAACTACGATTTCGTTATAGTAATAAAGTTTCGTCTTGGATTCCGGATATTTTATCGTCTTTAGAGAAGCCCATCGACACACCCGAGTAAGTTCCTATACTATTTGTTTTGTGTGAATACCATTCTACTCTGTACAGTTATGGATAGAATCAGACAGCTTAAAAGCGTGTACAAAGTACATCAGTTTAATTGGCCATCGTGCAACGGCACTTGTACGAAAAACAAAGAGACGCATTATAACGCTAAAAAGTAGATACGTCGAGAATTGGAAGTGAAAACAATTCGTTGCTTACCTTATTTTTTTTCAAGTAACATGTCGAGGAAGTGTATGTAACACCTAACAGCCATCTAAATCTTCAGTTACCAACTTTCAATTTACTTATGGGAATTTGTAATTGATGTCGACATTATTCATTAATTGATCTCACCACACATAAGTAATGTTTTGAAGACATATAAAATCACGTCCTTTAATCCACACATTTTCTCTACCGTCAGCAGTTTTATTTCATCGTTGGATTATATGACACCGTTAATTACTAAAATTACCATCGTCCATTAACTAACAGTCAGTTATTTTACAATTAACATTAGTAATATAGGTCGTTAGCTGTCAGATTAGTATCATTTCTCTCTGTCGAGATTTTGTTGGCATCTCGCTCACTAAAAATGCCGCAGTTTCACTGCATGATTTCAAACTTTGTGCAAATCAGTCATGAACAATATCCATACATTTGAAAAGTTTTAAATCCATGTAAAATATTCAGCTTCTTCATAGTTTCAGTGCTTCACCTGACAGAACTGTATTCTTTTTGAACTGAGTTAGTCCGGAAAATTCGAGGCACTTAACCAGTTTCAAAAAGCCTATCGTTAAGTGGAGTCATATGTGTCAGTCAAACGTGACTGAGGATATGAGAGATAATTATCATGTTACAATCGCTTTAATATCAGGTGACAATTTTCTAATAGCACTTCGTTGACTTAGTAGGTTTCTACTAACTACATTTGTATTAGACTAATACTCAGATACTCGATCGATGAAAATAACTGTCACTTGCAACCCAAGTAGCTTGGTCAGCGTAGATTTACAGTAATATGTATGTACTGCACAAATGAATGAATTTTAAGAATTTTATTATAGAACTTCCATTCAGGCCCGTGTCTTTGCCTTCCATGTTGTGTCTCCAGACACAGATACAAATGAATGGAATTACTCATTTCTTTTTTTTTTAAATGACAATAACTCACGGTATTTGAATATTCATAAACTAGCAGTTTTGTACTTTAATATTTATGGCCGAATTATTGGTCGCAGTCAAACTAAGAACCAGGAAAAATGTACATTAGTCGAGGCTACCATACCATCAGCTCAGAGAGGTGACATTAACAAGATAAATAGCAATAGAGCAAAAGTATCGATCATAGTGATCAGAGATCAAATGTATTGAATATGGCTTGAAAAGAATAAATGAACTAGTAAAATAAAATTGTGGAATAGTGTTAAAAATACAATCTGGAGGGATGTAAAGAATGAGTGCATTTATTCTATTGCAACCAATTCTTAGCCGCTCCACCTTTTTTCTCTAAACACTGGTCACGATAATTAAGGAGGTCAATTAGGTAGTTTGCAGCTAATGACTTGATGAACTAATACCACGTCTTGTTTTAGTCGCACCTAGTTTTATTCCAAAATTCGATTGTACCACTAGGGATTAAACTTTGGTACTAGTAATATACCAGGTATCGATGTATGTACTTACTTGTAAGCTACACTGTTTAAGGGTTAGTGATTTTATCTAGATGGAAGTAGGTATATCGCAATTCGGACCTAGAGTGTCGATTGGTTTAGCCAATAAACCGCTATTCCACATCAAATTATCAAGTAGCTAGAAATTTTAGTTTCTCATGGTTTTCGTTTCCTAGGATAAGATTACATTCGAAGGATTTTCTACTTTTTATTGAATCTGCCGACAAAATACTTCTCTAACCTAGATCACTTTATTCTTGTGATTTTTTCTAGTCATACGGATGTTACTTCAAGTGAATGGGTTTTTGTTGACCTGTTTCCAGCTTCTGAATTTTCAGCGGATCTAAATGAACTATACCCTAAGCAATTAGAGGTTTGTTTATCATTGTTTCCTAAGAAATTTTATAGCAAAAGATGTAAGTTAGAAGGAAATGAAAAGTTTAGGTGGTAATGGCGATAAATTTTGATGAGATTCCATGACCTGTAAAGTTAGCCGTCTAATGTAAAACAGTAACTCATCAGTGTCTTTAAATATAAGTCATCCTTAATCAAGAGTGAATTAAAATTTGTTATGGTAACCTTCTGTTTCCTATTCAATGGTTTATGAGCACTATACTTGCCACAAGACTAGAAGTCCTTAAATTTGATACCACACGGGTTCATGAGTGCTACTGTATAGTATTCAGTGTTTTTCAGTAGTACTCCAACTAACGTCAATCAATAATAAACATTATCTTCAAAATATGCAGAAATTTCCGTAGATCATTTGTCTTGGTAGTGGAGTAATAGTTTTGTTATAATTCTCTCTTACGGTTATAATCCAGCAATTCCTATTGCTTAGTATTCTCGGACACCAATTCACTCGACAAGTCCCCAAACCAGAACACGGTTGAACAGTAAAGAGATTATATTCCAAATAACAAGGTTAGATGGAAGTAAGAAGCGCAATAGGAAAAACGTTAGTATATTTATAGTTTTTACATGAGAAGATTTCTAGAGTATTCTCCACGTATCGACTAGCGCTGATTGGATAAGAATTAGCCAATCAGAGTGCATCAGAGCAATCGTGCATTGAGTATGCTTTAATCCAATCTATGTCCCGCTAACAAGTTTTCAATGTATACTTATCATTTTTTAATAAATATTTTCATGACACTGGCCAGCAGTGTAGTTCATATATTGTCGAAGCATCCGTTTTTCAACGGACACTGATCTATTCAGTACTAGATACCAAATACGGTATAGTATAATGTTTTGTTTGTACTTCACCGTATTTGGTATCTAGTACTGAATAGATCAGTGTCCGTTGAAAAACGGATGCTTTGACAATATATGAACTACATTGCTGGCCAGTGTCATGAAAATATTAATTAAGAAATGATAAGTATACATTGAAAACTTGTTAGCGGGACATAGATTGGATTGAAGCATGCTCAATGCACGATTGCTTTGGTGCACTCTGATTGGCTAATTCTTATCCAATCAGCGCTAGTCGATACTTGGAGAATTGTAAAGTGTCTCAAGTTGCACTGATTTTTATGACCGCTTGAGCTTTAGCTGGTTCGTTATAAGAGATACCTCAAACAACTGTCCTTCATTTCACGTACCGTATATCAAGGTATTAAGCTTTGTCTAACTTTTTGAAGATTATCTTAATATATTTATACTTTGGTAGTTGGTAGTAGTGTATAGCTAGCTGAATAATTTCTTCAATTTTTCCGAAACCGATTTGAATTCCTGGTGAAAATTGTACGAAATAAATGTATCTAACTGTGTTTACTAGTAATGTCTAGCTAGAAGTTGTAATATACGAGGTGGGATATAAACTGACTGGTGAGTTTTGATAATACGAATGGCGTTATATCAAAAATTGGCTGAATTTGAAAATATGAAGCTTATAGTTTTAGCCTATTGTTTTAAATACATCATACTCGCAGCCACCATCGAATATCCTTTGTCCAATCCTATATAGAGTTGTTTTCACGGGTTCTTCAATCAACACCTTTTCGTGATGGAAATAACTCAACTTATATAATATTTATGATAACTAGTGATAGTATGTGGTGTGTAGTGGTGTGGTTTTAATCCGATGCTTTGTGCTGTGCTGCATCGAAGTGACTTGTGTTGTTCTTTTTAGATTTATATCACTTGTATCTGATTACGACACAAAACACAGATTTACTCTACTTTGAATTGCGGTGGTTTAGTGATTTTTCTGTTAGATGAGATTGCTAAATTTGGTTTCCGTAATTTGAGTGAGGTAATTTTGGTTATTTTTGATATTTATTTTGTTCACTTCATTTTTAGCTACCTAATAGCATAGATCCGAATGTCCAACATCGTTTTTTCTATCATAAACTTCTAGCTACCAGCCAAGAGTTGTATCAGGGTTTAATGCGTCTTGCGGAATGTCATTACAATCTTTCAAGTACACTTGTTCAAGATATTCCCATGAAGGAGGAAGCCAATGTTAATTCTGGTAGTTCAATGTATGGTGTCGAAATTCTACATCGAGCTGAGGTACACGACATGTTAAAACGACGGGGTATTTATGAGCAATTATTAGTACGTACAGATAATGAAAACAATAAGTCCATATCACGACCACACTCTGGATTTTCGAAAACTTTGGGCATAAAATGGGTTACGCCGAAGACCTCGGATGCTAGTAAGTGAAGTAGTTTTATTCCATAACGTTATAAGCTATGTACGGTGATATTTTTGTCCTTATGTTTCTTATTCAGTTAAATAAATCATGTGGAATACTACTTGCTTGGATAATTTTTTCTGGTAAGTGTTTTTTTAGCGAGTTGGTTTTCTACGGGATGGGGTCGCTAATCTCATGCCCAAACCTCCTCCTTTATCCGAGCTTGAGACCGTCAGTAGCCCCAGAGGGGCTCCAGGCGGAGTTATGTGGAATATTACTGATTTCTTATATCACATAAGCTAGCGTTATGTCACAGTCTTATCCAGACTTTAGAACGAGACGATTCTTTTGTTTTGTCGCAAGTCTTTCAAATTTAAGATAACTTATGTGACAAGCTATAGAAGCTACATACACTAAGGTTCAGTCACAGACATACCTCAAATAATATAGTATAGACTAAATGGGTGGTGTATATTTGGAAAGAGTATGCATTGATGAAGATAAACACTGTATGTTTTTGACGATGTTGTCTATGCGTACAATGAAAGCTTCATGGTTAAACCATCTAACTCAGAGTAAACAAGTCCAAAACCCTCTCTTCGAGCTACAGATTTTTTTCACCACTTAACGCTTTTTCATAACTTAATATCATTAACTAATTGGTTTTAATTTTTGTAACTGATCAGCTTTGCTAGACAACAATTCTAACTATTCCACTTGTATTTCATGAATTACATGCTCACCTCGTTACATTTTCTCTAAGTTCGCTTTGCCAATTATTCTACCGTTTTTTAATGGGTTTCATGACGTCATAACATTTTATTCAAAAGCAATAAGGCATGGTATTTCACGATTATTTTATTTTCTATTACCATGTCCATGTCCGAAATCAAGTTAAATTTCTGGTTTCATACTGTGTATCTTTTATGTTAGTTCTGTAGACCAAATAAATTTGTTTGTTTTTGTCTATCGCATAATTGTTTAACATAACCATCTTCCTGTCAGACATGAATTAAAATTAAAGCCAGACGTATGCTTTAACTTTTTATATTGTTATCATAAAAACTTAGAGTCAAGTTGTAATTGTTATAGAACTTCAAAAAGAATAGGTTCTTGAATTGTGTTGGTGTCTATGTGATTGAACCATTATTACGAAAGCGGTTGTGTTGTTTAGTTCTATTGTTGACTTATTAGCCTACACTGCATGTAGAATGATGATTAATGTTACCAATAACACCGACTGATCAGCAACGATCGAGACCTTAATGCCTGTTGATCTTCGTGCACCACCCAATCCAGTGTCCAACCAGGAGGCAACTATGACAAACAGATGTCTACTCTTTTGTAATCTATTCGTTCTTTAGTCAAAAATCAAACAGTAATATACCTTAAACACTTGACCACATAGCACACAAATAACAAATTGCAATATATACCCCATTGAATCATTATTTATACAAAAACGGATCTTTAGCAATAATTCTCGAACGATAAGACATATAATGTCAGTTTATAATTCGAGCAAAAGCTTTCATATTAAAAGAGTATGAAACCTTAAAAATTTGAGGGTATATAACTGTACAATCAAAGCATAAATAATAACTCTGTAGGATAGTTGTGAAACTTTAGTCTTTTTAAAATCTTTTTTCAATATAATTGTACTGAATTACTAGTACAATATTAATTAGTCTGATAAGTAGGAAGTAATGAATTGATAGTAGTGATCAATGTCTGTATTTCTAATCTAAGTCAAGTTCAGATTTGCTTTTATCTCTCTGTAGGACTTACCACTTAATAATGACATGGTTTTTAGAATAATTATGGTTATTTTTGTAACGAGTATATCCTAGTCAACAGTAAAGTTTATTTAGTGATTCATGGAACTGATTATAGTACAAACAAAATATACAGTGAATACTTTTATTTGAGTGTTATACCAAACCTATCAGTCTTTACTATTAATTTCACTCCATCTATTTCGGTGTTTTAGATATTTACTGTCAGTAATTATCATTCGAAAAATTGTACATCATAGTGAATCGCATAAAAACTATTAAATTCAATTATATGAACGAAGAATATTCGTTTCAATGAATTTCTCATCAGGTTCTACAATTATAAATCCAAATTATTAATCCATAAAATTGTCCAGATTTAAGGCAATGTACATCATTTGGAAATTGTGATATATGAATCAAGAATTGTTGTTTGTCATATGAAATCAAATCAAATCGTTAATGTTGGAGCTGACTAATATGAAGTGTTAACTTGAATCAGTTTATAAGTGAAATGAAATTGTGCGATAAATGGTCAGAATACTAATTTTTTTCATGTCTCTTTAGTCACTGTTATTATTATTATCATTATTATTGCTAATTCAACTGTTGTTTATCGTCTTGGAAATCGCATTATAGGTTATCTATTGTAATTTATTATGTATCTTTATGTATTTTCTTTCCACAGATTTTCTGCGCTTTGCTGTCGCAACATACCGAGTAACTTTAGCAGATGTTTGCCATAGAGCATCTACTTGCTTGGCTCAATTTGTTTTAGGAGGTAATTTATGGATTTCTAACTATGTGTTTGTATATAGTTGATTGGAATGTGGAGATTAATTCATTATTGAAAAGATTTTCTTAAAATAAATAAATAAAATATATCTCATTTGCCGACTGCGGATATTATGTAACTATCTTTGGGCCACATTGTATGATAGCCATTGGCACTGTGATGTACACTACTTATGCGGACAGACATAAGTAGTATGTGGTAGGAATTGGAAGCAGACTGCTTGCCAGCAAAAGAGTGAAATGACGAGAAGAATCAGGAAAACGGATAGCAACCTGAATAACAACAGGATCGGAAGAATGATGAAATATGTGAAGGATAACTGAAAGAAGATATGCAAATGATTTGTTTAGTGTGTAATTTTCATATTCTACATAGCTACTGTTTGAGTTTGCATATAATAACGAATTAGTTTACCGTACATGAGTTTCCATTCACTACAGTACTACTTAGCTACCTAAACCGATGTAGTTGAGATGGGGTTTGGACCTGCAACCTGCTGATTCAAATTGTTCTGCAGTGAAAACCATGTTTGATCATGACAAAGAGTAGGCTAAGAGATATCATAAAATGCCACGTGACTGCATCTAAGGTATCACAAAGTCCCACCATCTGCTGTTTGGTTCTCCGTGATGTGGAACAGATCTCTAAGCTGTTATATGGAAAGACTCGTGGTATTCTGACGGTACACATGAAGGAGATCAAATAATAACAAAGAAAGAATTGTAGTTAGAAGTGAGAAGTGTTAAAATATCAAATGTAAGTGGATATGTCTAAGTTGAGTGGTTTCAAGAGTATGAAATTGTCACCCGCATCAAGTTCTAAAAATATTGATACTAACATACACTACTTAATATTAATAAGTAGCACAAGGTGGTTCACAAAAAAGCAAACAGGGAGAATAAGTGTTCATCATTTTTTAAAATTCACCAAAAGACTCGCTTTCAAAACCCCACTTCAGATTATTTGTTTGCATTTAGAATATAACTTTTTGGCACAGATTATTCACAATGTATACAGCTTATAGTTATTTGTCTAACGTTTTAATTTTCTAATTATTCATCTTACAACCTATAAGTTTTTGGTAGTTCCGTTCTTTAAGCTGGATGGTTAGTTTGAATATTCAAGCATTTGTTGATATAACAAAATTCAACTCTGAGACAAGTGGAAAACGTTATTGGTTAACCAGCATATCACTTACGTATATCTATTTGAGTTTGGTGAATACTGGATTTGGTTCGAATCCCACGAGGAGAATCAATTCTTTCAAATTATAGATATATCTTGGTACCGATAACCTCCTATCACCTAACATCCATGTGTGATTTATGCCTAAAATTATATCCTACAATCCTCTTGGCTTTTGTCACATAAACAAACGCAAAGTATTAAGCATACCACTGGTGTCTAAGTGTCAATTGTTTATGAGCAAAACGCTATTGAAACATCCTGCTGACGGGTACTTCTTATTTTCAGCTCACTAAATGCTTACTTACTTACGCCTGTTAATCCTCACGAAGGAGCATAGGCCGCTCACCAGCATTCTCCATCCAACCCTGTCCTGGTCAGTCCTTTCCAGTTCTTATTCATCCTTTTCATATCCGCTTCTATTTCCCGACGTAATGTGTTCTTTGGTCTTCCTCTTTCACGCTTCCCTTCAGGATTCCAAGTTAGCGCTTGTCTCGTGGTGCAGTTTGATGATTTGCGTAATGTATGTCCTATCCATTTCCATTGTCTTTTCTTAATTTCCTCTTCAGCTGGAAGCTGGTTTGTTCTCTCCCACAGTAGGCTGTTGATGATGGTATCCGGCCAATGGATGTTGAGCATCTTGCGTAGACAGCTATTTATAAATACTTGTACCTTCTTCACTAAACACTGGATACAAAATTTTAAAAGTATTTTGTACCGCCAGATCTTTATAGCGATGTAATAAATGTGTTGTGTATTTATATGAGTTAAGAGCAATATGCTTCAGTGTATAGGATCTGGTCAGATTATTTCACCTCAGGCGAATTATAGTTACTGGTTGTAATATCAATAATAGAATACTTTGTTCATACCTATTTAAGACAAACAATGTAAATTTTGGCAATGAGATGATTTATAAAACAATATCCTTGTTAAACTCATTGTAATATCTAAAAATAGTACTTATATCACGACATTCAACGCATTAACGCGTTTATTCAGTCTGGTTCCTTTAAAATACCAACTTAACGACAGTAATTTGACTAAGTTTAGATGTCTTGCCATCGTTGGCCACTTTATCTATCTTGTGCGTTGATTTTAATGTTTATTGTGACATAGTATACCTTTAATTTAAAGATGTATTGTCTCTATTCTTTAGCAAGTGATGACCAATAGAAACTGCGTACGTGTATACCTGTATTATTATTATTATTATTATCATTCAAACTTGTTAATCCCATTATTCATCTCATACAGGTCGATCTGTTGCGTTGGCTCATCGTCTACAGTGTTCATTCCCAGCGTTACCTAATGATTCTAACTTCTTAACATCTTGTTCAACGGATGAAGCTCTTCTACTCACTTGTCATGGATCCGTAATGTATATACATGTTTTAGCAACAATTTTCCCAATGACTCATCCACAGAATATTCCTTTAACTTCTAATCCTAATGTGGCCTCGGGAGATTATCGTATACAAGCCTTCATTGACCAAATCTTACGCCCTTCTCGTCTGGCTCCGGCATCAGCAAGATTAAATTATTCAGTGTTTCCCAAAGAACGAGGTAGGTTACAGTCAGTTTTCTCTTAATACTGCCAGGTTTATATTAATTCTAAAGTAAGTAAATAAGCCTTATCACCAGTCGACTTTAATTTGTCTTATAGTTAAGATTAATAAATATATTATTAACAACTTGGAGCATATAGAGTTGGAATTTTATTTATTTGACTTGATTGGCTTCTTCATTCTCCTCCTCTTTAAATAATTTCAGAATTGAACATATGATCTGAATTTGAAATTTCATAGACTTAAATGTTAATGTCCTCAATAGACTAACACTTATTCCATGATTGTTGTAAAAATCCTAGACAAAGCATTTGTTGTTAGCGAAAGTTTTGATTTTCAAATAATAGCGGAAGAGTCATATACAAATAGAATATTCCTTACTTAAAATAAAATGATGAACAACCTTGATCAATTCAATTTTTCGACCAGAGTGAACTGACTAAGCCGTAGTCATCTGGCTTTCATCATTAAAATGAAATGTAGAATACTTTTAAATTATATATTATTTTGCTTAGGAATCACACTTACTTCTATTTTATGTCTCCTCACTTACAAGTGCCTCTAAATACTTTTGGTGTTCCTTATGAATACAAGAATAAATAAGATAAACGATTGATTTTTTAATATTCAAAGTCTTCATCCGATCAAATATCACTAATTAGTATTTTTCACTTAGTCTCATCAAAAATACCATGACATGATGTCAGCTCATGAAGTCATTGACTGTTAGACTAAACCGGGTAGAAGTAGGTGCAGAATACTTAATTGGGATCCGCGTGGTTAACATAAACAGTAGTTAGAAACGTTGAGTGAAATGACTATGAATCAGTGAAAGTGGCATAGGCGCATTTAATCTTGGTTTTAAAATATCCGTAAATTGTCTATATTTGTTTACTCATGTTTACTCCACATCTGTGCTCATGTATTTTACTGAGTAGATGGGTAAGAGGGTAAGGAATTACCGTCTCTATTCACTGGATGATATCTCTTTTTTTCATCCATTATTAACGATATAATTTAATACTTCTTAGTTTATTTTAATGTGCTAAATAATTATTTGATTATTCTTACATATACTAAATAGCCCAACAACATATTGAACGTCAAACACGGTATTGGCCACTTATGGAATCTCAAACATTACTGGACAAAACTAAGGTTAGTTAATGGAACTAATACCGTTGTGAATTATTCCCAGATATTGTCTGGTTATTTTATTATAATCCTTAAACTTACCGACCATCTTGTTTCGAATTGATAATATTTGATTATTTTTTGTTTATTTATGACCACTGACTGGCTCAGCATAAAGTCTAGTGTATTATTTCTCAATTGTACCATTTAAAAAACAACTTTGTCAGAGAAAGGCATTAAATGATAACGAAAATCCTGGGTACTAAAGAGCGTAAAAGTGAACAGAGTATAAATTTGAGACTAATTCATACGACCTATATATTTTACAAGATTTGTTGTGTATTATTTCTGGACCTTATCTTTTTAATCTATGAACCACTAATGGTTTTATTTCCAACATAACACAATGATTTTATGAATAGATATTGTAACCATCTTAACATAATACTCAAGTGATCCTATATCATGGTATTCAACGACAAAGTATTTGTAACAGTCGTATTACTCCGATGGGTTTTTAGTTATCAGTTGTTTTTTTTCCTGTATTGATACTCAACTATAAAGAATCATTGATTAGTTAACATACTTGATTGAGAAAGTTTTATCGCCAGTCTTGGTAACTTTCTTAGTGTCATGAAATATGTGTAAACGGTGTGAATATTTACCCATTATTTTGTTTATCTTGCTAATAATTCTACATCGAAAATTCCATTTGATTGTAAAGATATTATCGAATCAAGTGATTATTGTTGGTTTGTTTGATGTCCTTCAAGCTTTGATATTTGATTATGAATATTTCATGAACACTAGTCTGTAGATCTCTCTGTAAACATCCAAGTAATTTAAATCTACCATCCTATTATCTACGGTATTAATGCTGACAAATTCACTAAGTGTATGTTAATGAAACGTTAATGTATATATATAAAGATCAATGATCACCAAGCGATCATCTTTTCCATTCTAAACCACAAATCTTTAATAACTAACAAAACTGACTAGTTAATACATACAATAGTAGAACTTATGTACAAACCATTATTCATATAGTATTTCTAAATATTATGAAAAAAAATGTAATTAAAACTTTAATGTTACTAAACTTTCATCAATACACTATGTCTTGTAATTGACTTTGTATATTACTTGTTATTATGTCTATATGTAATTGTATAATGTTTACACATATTTTAATTAAGGTAATGATCAGACCATGGTAAACTATATAGATTTAAAGACCTATTGAGTAAAGTACATCCGGTCTCTGTGATCTAAGTAACCTGAATAATATTATTTTTGGTGAATCAGACTATATAATATGGAAAATGTGTATCATTGACTGACTGATTGACTTAAGACAGGATAATTTTTGTATATAGAATTTAATAGAGAATTATAAAATATGAATCAATAATATGACTTATGTATCATATAATGTATACTATTGATTTTATTTACACGTGAGTGGTCGAGGTGAGGGTTATGTAGAGTACCCAATGAAATGAATATTGTTATAATAACCGAATACCAAACAGTAATCATAGATAATAGAGTATATTTTAGTGTGTCAGTAGGATTTTTGAGCAGAAAATTGTTTGTTTTCTTTTAACATAATTATTCTAGTTGAAAATAACCTACATGGGATGAAATGTTCACTTGAAGTACTGCGGAGCAGTAGCAGTTGGTATTCTATCTATCAATTAGTTCAATCAGATATCGATTATTACAGTTTCATTCTTTAGCCTATTCAGTTATGAAACACCGAAGTTACGATTTGTTGATAATGAAGTTTATAAATCAAACATCTAATAAAAAGCAAACACTTTTATTATCATTGTCTATATTTTTAGCTAGCTGCTCCAATATTCGAAAATTTACCAAAAGAATACCTTGAACCTAATGAAATATCTGCCTGTGAAGAATCTATGGTGAATATTGTAAACTCTATTAAACAGTATGTTTGCCTGTCCGATTCTAGAAAGAACTCTTCCAAACGGTAAGCTTTTGAAACTCATAGAATTAATCTTTTGTTAGTGGGTTTATTTATGAATTTGTAATTATTTATGTTACTTAAGTTGAGATGATAGAAAACACTTGCAGCTCAGGATGAAAATTTTGAAGGTTTTGTGTTCACCAAGCTAAATGACTTATTCTTAGTGAGATAATTTGTCATTTTTAGATACAGTGTAATGTGACTGATCTACCAAGTTCAAGCTAGATTGTTTGTGTGATGAGTAGTGATACTAACCAGTTGTCCAAACCGAATTATATGTAGCGAGATGTTAATCTTCAATTCATTGTTTAAAAGTCAAACATTTTAACTATTAAGTCACTGTTTTTCTCCGAAATGTAATAAACTAACCATTATTAACTATAACTCAACATAATCTTTAAAAATGAAGGATTTGAAAATACCAAGTTGGTAGGAATGTATACGTAATTGTTAGAAATAAAACATAATAACACTTCATTTGTAATGTTATAAATTAACTAGCTATTCATCACGTAAGTATTATCAGCCAAGGTACTGTTTATTCCTTCTCAATAAAATTAGATTGAATGCCTACCTTGAAGACAAAAATAAAGCAGTGGATATTACATTTCAGTAAAAACTTCGTATGACTCTTCTTTTTTTGACGAAGTAAGTTTTAGGTTCAGATAGCTGACTGTTACAAAATGAAGTATATAAAAGTTAAAAGTACTTAGCTTTGTCTTTTCTACTGTTCAACAGAGATCAGTATTTGTATTATTTTACAATAAGTATTGTAAAATTTACAGGGTAGTACAAGGGTTTAAATACAATAAAAAAATTCATCTTTATAGTTTAAAGTAGTTTGTATTCTGACATAATTTAAATTCTAAAAGAGATCAATGTCTTTTTCTTTGTATCAGAGAGCTATAGTGTTAATCGTAGTGTTTATTTATTCTTCTTTCGTGGATTTATTACATCATTATTTAGTGAACATATTAAAAAAATGATCTTTTGCTTTTCCAAAAAAAATTAATTCTAGAGGATCATCATCTGGAACTTTGCCTGTTGCGCCTGTACTTCAAGCAGAAGCAATTGTAATGGCAACTGAATTCGATTATATTATTTCCTTATATAGTGATATATCAACTGAACATGAACAAATTCGGAATTATTGGATACAAACTATAAGTTCAACAAAAACTAATGACACATTAAATGGACTAAATCGTTTATCAAATGAAAAAGACTTTAATTCATTAAATCTTACAGAAATGATTCGTCTAGCTAAAACAATAGCATATGATCAAACGAATATTGTTAATACTACAATTCCTTTAGCACTTATAAAAATTATGAAAAGTTTAACAGTTCTATGTGAACGTCTTCATAGACATACAGATTCTCATGATTCCAAATGTATCACTACGCAAGTAAATCAGAAGTATGTGTGGTTTATTTAATTTTTATTAGTTTGATACTAGTTTCAAATTTATTTTATACTATAGTAACTGATTTGGCATAGTATCAAAATTAAAAACCATATTAATCAGATATTAGTTTATTGGTATACAAAAAGGTTGATATGTTTTGCAAAAGCCAATCCAAATTACTTTCATAATTGGGGTTCTGAAATTGAATGGTTTTTGTTTGGATAATCCAGTAGTATCATTAGTATATAAACCTGTATATGATTGGTGGATTGTTGGTGAATCAAAAGCTGCATATGTGATGAGTTTAATATGAGCCTATACACTGTTTTTGTTAGCTTAATGAAGTTCATCAAAGTCGATTAGTCAGCCTGACAGAGATATGAATGGCCAAGTCGTCATACTAACTTAGCACTATAAGATAAAATTAACAGGCTGAATAATAAAGTAGCCGAAATTACTGCAGTAACATTGACAGTGAGAAAAACTAAACACTGAGAATATGGTTCGAGAAGATAGAGTCTAAGGGTATGTCTGATGGGGTAACAGAACTCAAAATGTCGAAGAATAGTGGAGGCATTTTACGTATTGTGTCCAATTACAAAAAATGTTACCCAACCACTAGTCGCGCGTAACCTAACCAGGTAATTCCTATCTATCAACATGATTTTGATCCATGGTAAATGACTTCGTGGACTGTTAAATTCCAAGTTTTCTAGCCAACGTTGCATGTCACTAAAATATCAACTACATTTTTCATTCGAAGTATGAAGGAAAATGTCACTTTGTACTTTTTGATTAGTTCAGATGTCAAACTGACCAGATTTTTATGGCAAGTATAAGTGGCTGATTTTCAGTAACCCACTTAGAATATATAATATTGTTTTTTATGTTATAGTCCCAATACAATTTCTTAGTTACTGTCGTAATAAAATTATGCATAAGGTAGATATGTGAAGGTATAAATTCGTAGCTTTGAACAGTTACTATTTCCTTATAGTACAATCCTTTTTTTCTTATTCCCATTTAGATCTACATGTAATCCAGTGCAATTACCCAAGATAATGGCAATAGTTGAACCTGGTAAGATTTCTATTTCACCTGTTTGACAATAAAATCGTTTTTGCTTAATTTAAAAATGTTAGGAACTTGAGGTAGCAAAAGTTGTGAGTAAATTTAGAAAAAAACAATGATTTGTTTAATACCTATAATGATAACAGTTCAAATTTTGAAAAATTATCATATTGTGATTTAGAACAACATATATAAGCGAAGGGAAGCACGGGATACAGTGGACAGCTAGGATGCAGTTGAACGATCTAGACTTCGCAGATGATCTGGCTCTTCTATCGCATACGCAACAACAAATGCAGGAGAAGACAACCAGTGTAGCTGCAGCCTCAGCAGCAATAGATCTCAATATACACAAAGGGAAAAGCAAGATTCTTCGATACAACACAGCATGTAACAATCCAATCACAATTGACGGAGAAGCTTTGGAAGATGTAAAAACCTTCACACATTTGGGCAGCATCATCGATGAACACGGTGGATCCGATGCAGATGTGAAGGCACGGATTGGCAAAGCAAGAGCAGCATATTTACAACTGAAGAATATCTGGAACTCAAAACAATTGGCAACCAACACCAAAGTCAGAATTTTCAATACAAATGTCACGACAGTTCTACTGTCTGGGACGGAAACATGGAAAACTACGAAATCCATCATCCAAAAGATACAAGTGTTTATTAACAGTTGTCTACGCAAAATACTTCAGATCCGCTGGCCGGACACTATTAGACACTAACAACCTACTATGGGAGAGAACAAACCAGATCCTAGAGGAGGAAGAAATCAGGAAGAAGCGGTGGAAGTGGATAGGACACATTGAGGAAAGCACCCAGCTGCGTCACAAGACAAGTCCTCACATGGAACCCTCAAGGCCAAAGGAAAAGAGGAGGATCAGAGAACACATTACGCCGGGAAATGGAGATAGACATGAGAAAAATGAACAAGAATTGGATGGAACTAGAAACGAAGGCCCAGGACAGAGTGTGTTGTAGAATGCTGATCGGTGTTCTATGCTCCATTGGGAGTATCAGGCGTAAGTAATATAAGTAAACAATATTGTTTTCGATTAGATCCTCATCAAGCTTTACTCTAATATACAATAATATTTATGTGCATACACGGAATCATTTAACTAATCAAGACAGTTTATGAGTCAGTGATAACATCGTAATAGATCACGTAAATAAACAAAATAAGTAAGAAGCACAAATTGATAGTGTGTTAACAGCTGTAGTAGTTGTGATAAGAATAATAAAGGTTTGAATCAATGTTTCGTAATAGGAAATAGGTCAATTACTAGAAAAATATAGACACTGAAATAACATTCGCAAAAGAATCATAAGATTACGTAATAAGAAGTATTCAGATAATTGGACCGTGAAGCGTATATTTGAGAAAAGGCTTGAAGAGAAATAAACGAAGAGTATGAAAAATAATACTAAGTAGAATTATTTATTAAGGTCAAGGAAGAGATAAAGATGTTAAAAAATTTCTATGAACACAAAAACTTCAATTGTTAGCTGGAATTCCTATAGCTTCTGCTATATGTAAGAGACGGAATCGACCCCCATAAGGAAAACTGATAGGAATATGATAAATCACTCTAAATGACCTATTTCTGTCCATTATATGGTCGCTATCAATCAAGTGTGACAAAACAAAACCGAAGGAAGGTGTTTACTAACTCGTTAGCTCAATCGTCTGATAGTGCGTTCAATATAGCTTTCTCCATAGGAGCAGCTGAATTCTTAGATACACATAGATGTGACATTACCAGGTAACGTATCATTCAGTTAAGGAATCACCATAGATCGGGTCGAGTACGACAGACGGAGGTTAGCTGCCTTAAACGTTCTCTTCACTGCTTTAGTCAGTCTATCACGTAGTAAATCACCAGCTACATCTCCATTGAAATGTAGCTTCAGGAAGAGGGGTTCCTTACTAATCTAATTGGAAACAATATTGTACGCTTACATATATTGTTCTAGGTAACAGTCCAATTTCATCTTGTAAATTGTGATTATTTTCTTCTGAACAACATCTGTTTAGAAGTATCCATCCTTTCCAAACTACCATAAGACCATTCTTAAAAATAGTTACAATGTATATAGCTCCGATCGGTTTAAAACTTTTATTGGTTAAGTATTCGGGAGTATCATCAACCCCACTGACTGACAAGTAGTCTGCATACACTTAGGAAGCTCGCTTTATTCTTCACTACCGATGCCACTTACTTAGGCATGCGGTGTACTAGATTATTTTTCGATTAGAAGACTACATGCGATCGATTCGTGAGATAATCAACTGTTAAACTGAACCTTGTCGGAAGGTCCAAAATTACTGACTAGGCTGGTTATCAATGGTTAGAGAACTCAAATAAAATGGCTCTTAATCGATAACAGTGACTCAAGTGTATTAGATTTTCTTATGTTTGTGTAGATCTTACTAAAATTCATTTTATTTGATTACAATTTCAGCTGATCGAACAAATTTCATTGACCGTTTAAAATCTGCAAAACGTCGACGTGTACAAACGCAAAAATTAGATTTTGTTGGTGTGCTTACTGCAGATTCTAAAGGTTTGTGTCAGTTGTATAAAGGTTTAAAAGATAAAGAAAAATCCAATGCTTATTTGTTTTCTGTTTGCTTCATTATAACAAGCAACATATTTTCAGATTATGCTTTTTGTTTGGATAAAAAAAGCTTTCTTTCATCCTGTCCAATAGCCGGACACGAGTGACTGATAAATCATGTTGTTCTATGCTAGGAGCTCATGAAATTGCTTGTGTGTATCAAGAAGACAGAGAGTTAGAAACAGAGCAGAAAAAGTTAAGACTTGTTGTAGATTATTCAGGGTTTAGGCTTCTGATTATGAGTTGATATTTTCAAGAAACCCAAGCTTTCTCCCAAGAGATAGTAGTGAAACAGATCCAGTAAAAAGCCGCGCTGAAGGTCAAACACTCTTATACGTTATGTTGATTCATGTGGATGATTAATTTTGCTCGGATAACAAGCAACAAAGAATACGATTACATCAACAAGTTCTTCACGCTGACAATTATTATCTATTGATGAGACTTTCCAGTGAAATATATTAAGTTTTATGGATCATGCTTTAAAACATAGTTTGTAAAACTAAGACTTCAAATTAAATTTAAGAATATTACTTATACGATATGTTTCTAAAGGGTTGTCTCGACTATTAGTTTTGTATTAAATAGGTGTTCTTCAACTGAAGTATAAATCAAAAAGATCATTATTTGTGCAAGTCAGTTTGATCTGTAAATGAAATATATGTTGGGCAAATTATTAAATTGGTTTCGCTTTAGATCACCATTGATATTTGTCTACATAATATTAGATTTTTAAGTACTTCATATTTCAAAAAGAGCTAATGAATTATTTGAAGTTAGTAACTCAAACATCGAAGTTTACATAATTGAAATCTATACAGGAATCACATAGCAGCAGAAACTTGATTAACGATCAGTGTTTAACTACATAAACTGATAAAACAAAACTAATATTTCATAACCTGACCGTTGTTGCTACCTTGACGTGGTGGTCGGGCTTGCCTATCGTGATGAAGCAACTGAGCTATACTGGCTGGAACAACCGTTCCTCAAGGTCCTACCATGCCAGACAGGTCGGTTGAAAAGCGGTAAGACTAAAAGCAACAAAACCAAGATCCGAAGGCGAAGTCGTACTGCCGACTGTACAGAGGTGTGACAGCAGTAAGCTGTTTCCTCCAGACAGCCAGCATAACAGCGATGCTGCCTTCCCAAAAGGAGGGGAGGGGTTAGAATAGGTCGACCCTAAAAATGCACACCTCGCCTTATCCCACGGATATCCGTCTCCGGCGGTAAGGTCTCAACAAGTACGGAGCTAACACAAAAATTACTCATAAAAAGGTCGTGTGTGACCGACCTCAAGCAGCTGTCCCTTGGGCACTGCGGTCACGCTCTCAGGTCACTATGACCACCTCTAATCCAATTTCCTTTTCAGGTACCTCCAGCAGAACCCTTCCACGGTGTGGGCAACCGGGAAGTGATAACCGCCCTCATACCTCTAACAGCACTCAAGACCACTGTATTCATAATCAACCTCCTTCTTCAATTCCTATTATTCCTCTTACATCGACTTTCAAATCTAAACTCCCTCTTTCGGCTTCCTCCTCAAGTGTCACCACAGCCAACGATCCTAGTGCGCGAAACACTGTCCCAGATCTACTGAAACCTCGCTTCAAATTACACATTGGAGCCTTCAACGTACGCACACTATGCCAAATCGGTCAGCAGGCTTCCTTGGCTAAAACCTTAGAATCTCGTACGATTGATGTATGCTGTGTCTCCGAAACACGCATACAGGATCCTAGTGTGGTCATTCACTTGACCTCACCTCGGCAAAACGGAGTGCCGACGAGATACACCCTCCGTGTATCTGGCGACCCGATGGCTAGTTCTCGTGGACTTGCAGGTGTAGGCATAGCACTAAGCATGAGGGCGGAACAAGCGCTATTAGAGTGGATCCCCGTTAATAGTCGTCTATGCGCTGTTCGGCTAAACGGCTCGGTAAGAACTCGAAAGGATAGGCACACACGTCGTTGCCTTTACGTCGTTTCTGCCTACGCTCCCACTGACTGCAGTTCGAATGAAGTGAAAGATGACTTTTACAGAAAGCTGTCTGAACTTCTTCAGAAAGCTAAACGTTCAGACATAGTACTCGTAGCAGGCGACTTTAATGCCCAGGTAGGTAGCTTAAACGAAACAGAAAGACATTCAGGTGGGTATTTTAGTATTCCGGCACAGAGAACAGATAATGGTGATCGTCTGCTGCAACTTTGCTCAGACAATCGTTTATTTTTAGCAAACACAAATTTTAAGCTATGGAGAGACATCGTCCAACATGGCGACCCCCTGCACCAAACCAACGATGGACTCAAATAGACCATATTGCCATCAGTCATCGTTGGAGAGGGTCGATAGAAGATTGTCGCTCATTCTGGAGTACCTGCTTGGACTCCGACCATGCCCTAATACGAGCACGCATCTGCTTGCGCCTCACTAGACGCAAAAAAGCCACACAAAAAAAGACTCATTAGAACCGAATTGAGTAATGAGAAAACCAAAAGTAGGTTCCAGGAACAACTGAGGTCACACTTAGGTAGTTCTGAAAACGAGTCTGACCCCGATGTTGATTGGAAAGACGTACAAGCGGCTGTGGAAACAGCAGTGACATCTACTAGTGATTTAAACCACAGGGTTACAAAGAACCAATGGATTTCTTCAAGGTCTATTGCACTGATAGATTCTCGTAAACTCATCCCATCAGGTTCTGAACACGATGAAGAGCGTAAAGAAATCAGATCTAGGTTAAGCAAAAGTCTAAGGAACGATCGTGAGCAGTGGTGGGCAACGAAAGCAAAAGAGATGGAAAAGGCGGCGGCTATAGGGAACACAAGACAACTCTACAGACTAATAAAAGAAACGAATTAATAAATCAAGTGTAAGTCAGACTATTTCGGAAAAAGACGACACTCTCATCTGCTCCCAGTTCAGACGATGGGCGAAACATTTTAAGGAGCAGTTTAGCTGGCCTTCAGCTACTCTACAACTACCCTCTATTCCCAGACAGTATGAATGGAACATTGAAGTAGGTTCCCCAACTCTAGCTGAAGTTCAAAAGGCTATAGCTAATCTGAAACGAGGAAGGGCAGCTGGTCCAGATGGATTGGCCTCAGAGGTCTTTAAGGATGGTGGTCTAGTTTTAGCGATTAGGTTGACTAATATTTTAGCTAAAATCTGGGAGTTAGACGTCATCCCATCTAACTGGTCACAATCACTTATCGTCCCAATATTTAAGAAAGGGTCAAAATCATCCTGTGGCAACCACAGAGGGATTAGTTTGACTAATATAATATCTAAAATACTAGCTTCGATAATTTTCGGACGCCTAACTAAGACTCGTGAACTGCAAACACGTGAAAATTAGGCTGGCTTCAGACCTGGTCGTGGATGCATAGACCACATATTCACCATTCGTCAGGTTCTAGAACACAGGCATACTTATCGGCGTCCGACAATAGTGGTCTTCCTTGACTTAAAAGCAGCGTTTGACTCTGTTGACCGAGAGGTTCTGTGGTAGTGTCTGTCATTGAAAGACGTACCTCAGAAGTACATAAACCTTGTGAAGGCTCTTTACTCGAACACTACTAGTCGAGTCAGAGCTTATGGCGAACTGTCATCTGCTTTTGCAACCTCAACTGGTGTCCGTCAAGGCTGTCCACTTTCTCCATCTTCGTTTAACTTCATCATAGACCTCCTGATGGAAATAACGCTCTCATCGACTGAATTCTCAGGTATTGATCTCCTACCAGGAGGTCCACTTATTGACTTAGAATACGCAGGTGATATAGTCCTGTTTGGTGAAGACGCTGATGAAATGCAGAGTCTTTTGGTTGCACTGAGCAACAATGCCAGAATGTTTGGGATGCGCTTCTCTCCCTCTAAATGCAAGTTGTTGCTTCAGGGCTGGTCTGCGTCAACACCTGAACTAAGGGTAGCAGGTGAATTAGTCGAAGGCGTTGACAACTTCACTTATCTTGGAAGTCTGATCAGCCCTAATGGGTTGGTGTCTGACGAAATCTCAGCACGGATTCGAAAAGCTCGCTTGGCCTTTGCCAACTTACGTCATCTATGGCGAAGGCGAGATATTCGTCTATCAATTAAGAGACGAGTATACTGCGCGGCAGTTCGTCCCGTTCTACTATACGGCTGCGAAACATGGCCATCAAGAGTAGAAGATATTCGTAAGTTACTAGTATTTGACCACAGGTGCCTTAGAAACATTGCTCGCATCTGCTGGGATCATCGGGTAAGTAATACTGAGGTTAGACGCAGGGTATTAGGGAATGATGGTAAATCAGTTGATGAGGTTATGAATCTTCATCGACTGAGATGGTTGGGCCACGTGCTGCGTATGCCTGAACACCGATTACCACGACGCGCAATGCTAACCGGTGTTAGGGATGATTGGAAGAAAGTTAGGGGCGGCCAAACCAAAACGTGGCATCAGTGCTTGAAGTCTCTAACTTCTGGTCTGAGCCATGTCGGTAGATGCAGACTACCTGGTTGGGGTCCGCGTGACTATCGTAACCAATGGTTGGAGACTCTTGGTGACATGGCTCAGAATCGATCACAATGGCGTCGGTGTGTACACTCTCTGTCTTCCTTTAAACTAAAAGATTAAAATCACTTCAAATCTTTCTTTCTAGGAACTAATTCTATCTTCCTGTACTATCTCCTTATACACACTCTTTCTTCTATATATTACCACCATTGACTTAACCACTCCTATGAATCCGGTGTTCATTTTGTTGTGCTAATACGGTATGGCAACTTGGACCGATGCATATACGTGCCTGGTCCTACGTTGCAGCTGACTGACTGACTGAATATTTCATAACAATACAATAATTGTTTGAAGTTTATATTATAATAAATGAAGACTGTACATCTCTTAAATATTATAGAAATAGAAAGCATCGTTAGAAAAAAAGATTAGAGTTAATCAAATTTAATCGTAGACACTGGTACTACAACTAATATTCGTCCACCATCGGCAATACTGATAACATATGATCCACCAGTTCTTATTGGCATTTTCATACTGATAATTGGGGATAATTTTCCTTGTTCATCATTTCGATTAGTTAACAAGTATAATTCAGATGACTTGAACGATTCAAAGTCACCACCAGTAATACCAAGTGGAACTAATTCTTTTATCCATCGACGTAACAAAGCGGAAAGATGTGAAGAATTTGAACTATTTGGATTTCTCATATTTACAGATGATGGGGGTAAAAGTTGGACTGAACGTTCATATTTAGCAGTCCACGGATTTACAACTCGTAAATAACTCTGCAAACAATGTATATTTTAGTGATAAAAAACAGCGGAACTTGAATAGTTACATAAACTGATGTAGATGACGGAAAATTTTATAACCTGTTATTTAGTTATTAAATTCATAAATCATTGTGCTTTTAATCGATAACACTTCAACTTTTTAAAGATACATCAAGATGATATAGACAGACCATATTATCAAGTAGAGGAAAAGTAAAGAATATGGCCTTGTTAAACAATCACTAATTAGCAATTTGTAAGTGGTAAAATGTGAATGAACTCCGCCTGGAGTCCCTTTCGGGGGGCAACTGACGGTTCCAAGCCCGGATAAATGAGGAGGGTTGGGCATGGGGTTAGCGACCCCATCCCGTAGAAAACTAACTCGCTAAAAAAACGCTAAACAGAAAAAATTATTCAAACCATTTAAACTCTGTCCTGGGAGTCAGGAGGTCTTCGTTTAGAAGAATTATGACGCCTAATGATAAAAACCGAGTTTCTTCTGAAGTCACGAGGCCGATGCCCCTTCTGACAACCAGAGCAACCATTTATTTAGGTACATGGAATGCTCGCACAATGTGGGAGACTGGGAGAGTTCTCCAAATTGCTGCAGAAATGAGGAGATACAGTCTAGAGGTGCTTGGGATCAATGCAACACATTGGACGCAAGTTGGACAACAACGACTAGCTTCAGGGGAGCTGCTGTTATACTCCGGACATGAACAAGAAAATGCTCCACATACACAAGGAGTTGCATTGATGCTGTCCGAACAAACACAAAGTGCACTTATAGGATTGGAATCTCATGGACCAAGGATCATCAAAGCCTCCTTCAAAACAAAGAAAACGGGGATTACAATGAACGTCATCCAATGCTACGCGCCTACCAACGACTACAATGAAGACGCTAAAGATCAATTCTACGATAGGCTGCAGTCAATCGTCGAGAAGTGCCCAACAAAGGACCTGACTATTCTGATGGGAGACCTAAATGCCGAGGTTGGAATTGACAACACCGGATATGAAGAGATCATGGGACGACACGGACTGGGAGAAAGGAACGAAAATGGTGAGAGATTTGCAAATCTATGTGCCTTCAATAAACTGGTTATAGGCGGGACTATATTCCCACATAAACGCATACACAGAACCACATGGACTTCACCGGATCACACCACACAGAACCAAATCGACCATATCTGCATCAATAAAAAGTTCAGGAGGACGATTGAGGACGTGAGAACAAAGAGAGGAGCTGATATAGCATCAGATCATCACTTGCTGGTCGCCAAGATGAAATTGAAACTCAGGCACTGGACAACGGGGAGGACAATATCACAAAAGTTTAATACGGCTCTTCTTCGGGATACTGACAAACTCAATAAATTCAAGATAACCCTCAGCAATAAGTTCCAAGCCTTTCATGATCTACTCAATGGAGAAGGAACTACTATGGAGAGCAACTGGAAAGAGATAAACGAGGCAATCACTTCAACATGTCATGAAATTCTGAGCCAAAAGAAGCACCATCACAAGGATTGGATCACGATCTATACACTAGATAAGATTCAAGAAAGGAGGAACAAGAAGGCAGCAATCAATACCAGTCGAACAAGAGCAGAAAAAGCCAAGGCACAGGCTGAATACACAGAAGTAAACTAGCAAGTGAAGAGGAGCATCAGAACTGACAGACGTAAATATGTGGAAGATTTAGCAATGACGGCGGAAAAGGCTTCCAGAGAAAGAAACATGAGACAACTGTATGACACAACAAAGAAACTCTCTGGAAATCACCGTAAACCAGAACGACCAGTGAAAAACAAGGAAGGCAAGATAATCACCAACATTGAAGAACAACGAAACAGGTGGGTAGAACACTTCAAAGAACTCTTGAATCGACCAGCCCCACTGAACCCACCCAACATCGAAGCAGCACCCACGGACCTCCCAATCGATGTTGGCCTACCAACAATTGAAAAAATCAGCATGGCTATCAGACAAATCAAGAGTGGCAAAGCAGCAGGACTAGACAGCATTCCAGCAGAGGCACTGAAAGCAGACGTAGCGTTCATGGAGGACAGTTGACAAAGTCGTTCGAAGTAAAGACCGGTATCAGGCAAGGTTGCTTACTCTCACCCTTTCTCTTTCTCCTGGTGATCGACTGGATCATGAAGACGTCAACATCTGAAGGAAAGCACGGGATACAGTGGACAGCTAGGATGCAGTTGAACGATCTAGACTTCGCAGATGATCTGGCTCTTCTATCGCATACGCAACAACAAATGCAGGAGAAGACAACCAGTGTAGCTGCAGCCTTAGCAGCAATAGATCTCAATATACACAAAGGGAAAAGCAAGATTCTTCGATACAACACAGCATGTAACAATCCAATCACAATTGACGGAGAAGCTTTGGAAGATGTAAAAACCTTCACACATTTGGGCAGCATCATCGATGAACACGGTGGATCCGATGCAGATGTGAAGGCACGGATTGGCAAAGCAAGAGCAGCATATTTACAACTGAAGAATATCTGGAACTCAAAACAATTGGCAACCAACACCAAAGTCAGAATTTTCAATACGAATGTCACGACAGTTCTACTGTCTGGGACGGAAACATGGAAAACTACGAAATCCATCATCCAAAAGATACAAGTGTTTATTAACAGTTGTCTACGCAAAATACTTCAGATCCGCTGGCCGGACACTATTAGACACTAACAACCTACTATGGGAGAGAACAAACCAGATCCTAGAGGAGGAAGAAATCAGGAAGAAGCGGTGGAAGTGGATAGGACACATTGAGGAAAGCACCCAGCTGCGTCACAAGACAAGTCCTCACATGGAACCCTCAAGGCCAAAGGAAAAGAGGAGGATCAAAGAACACATTACGCCGGGAAATGGAGATAGACATGAGAAAAATGAACAAGAATTGGATGGAACTAGAAACGAAGGCCCAGGACAGAGTGTGTTGTAGAATGCTGATCGGTGTTCTATGCTCCATTGGGAGTAACAGGCGTATGTTTGTAGGTAATTAAAATGTGAATGAGTTGGTTAATCAGAGGACTGAAGTAAACACAATAGTCGAAGTACCATGCAGTTACTTTTACACACATCGAAAAAATACGATAAATATATATATATATATATATATATATATATTCACCAAAATGACCTATAAAAATGACAAGATTAGGGTTGCAATTTAAAATTGTGAATACATAAGATGCATTATTCAGTAAATTACTATAATAAATTAGGACACTTCGTACCTGTATAGGCTGCATCACAACATGAAGCTGATGTATTTAGGTTTTAATGAGTTGGAGTACTGTTTATTTCTGAAAACGTGTACAATTATGATTGTTTATTCATTTTTTTTCGACCGAATTGCACAAACACCAACGACGGACTTTATATCGAAATGCTTTGACACAACAAGTTTGATATGGTGGTGAAAGTTGTCAAATCTATCACAGAGGTTCGCTTTTAAGAATATAGGTCATGAGCAATTGAAGGAATTTACTAGCATAATGGTATGGAAAAGAAGTTAGAATGGAACTATATTTAGTAACTAAGTTCTAGTCAAGCGCTGACCTTTTTAAGGCCCTTTTTCTAAGGATCAAGGAGTTGCATAGGATTCGGATTCAAATAGATTGTCAATTTTTCTCGCTATTGCGAACCCACAATTGTTCCATAGACATTCATTGTTTCCATTCAGACGGTAAAGCTTGATATTTCAATTTAAATATAACAGGTGGAGTTGTCTTTCGATTCGTCGGAACATTGCGCTCTATATTCGTAAATACCAATCATATTTTATTGTCATGTAGATGTTTACGAGACGATACAGTTTGCCCATATATATATATATATATATATATATATATATATATATATATATATATATATATATACTACCGAAACAATTTACTTAGTATTTTATGTCATTGGCATCATAAAATAACAAGTGGTTAGTATGCAAAATTTTCAACCAACCATTTTCCACCTTGATTTTAGTTTAAAATAAATTTCAGTTTATGATTAACAAAAAAAAACGCATGCATAATGAAGCCTAATATTTTAAAAAAATATCACACATTTTTTCAGATGAGGTGATCTAATTAACGAAACAGTAATCGATCGTCTATAACTAAACCAAAACATAAAACTAACAACAACAAATTTGTAGCATGATGTTCAAGGTTCATGTTATTGATTAAAGTATCCGTTATCCTAACCACGCAAAAACATATTGTTAAGTGAGAAAGGATAAGAATTAGTTAATTATTTCCGCAACAAGAGTTTGAACTGTAGAAACATTGTTGCTGTGTGATGATCATTTTATCTTCTCAACTAAATTACTTCGGTCTTATTTTTTCGCCTTTTATCGATGGCATTTATTAAGAAATTCATGGAATGTGAAATTCCGATCCAATTCGGAGATAAATTATTGAGGTGTCGATCCGACGATTTAAACTAAGCTTTTTTAGTATGACTTGATATTGATACATTATCTTAAACTATGGAGCTGAATTGTTTGATATCATACACTAACAAGCACGAATGGTCAGTATAGAAAATAAGACAAATGAATATGACAACACTTAACTCATTCTCCAACAAAATCCATTTAATGCATGAATATTTACAAAAATTAAGATAAACTATTTACTGACCTGATCACCAAAAACCACACGTCCATCAACGGATAGTAATAAACTGGACATGTTGAATGTTGATAAATTCTACAATAAAAATAAGTAATATAAATAAAAAGTATTCAAAGTAGCTGCTACCTTGACGTGGTGGTCGGGCTTGCCTATCGTGATGACCCAACCGAGCTATATTGGCTGGAACACATGTTCCTGCAGGTTCTACCATGCCAGGCAGGTCGATTGGAGAACGGTAAGACTAAAAGCAGCAACTCAAGGTCTGAGGGAGAAGTCGTACTGCTGACTGTACAGAGGTGTGACAGCAGTAAGGTGTTTCCCTCGGACAACCAGCATCTACAGCGATGCTGCCTTCTCACAAGGAAGGAAGTGGTTAGAAAAGGTCGACCCTAAAAATGTCACACATCATCTTACCCCACGGATTTCCGTCTCTGGCGGTAATGCCCTTTGAAGAACGGAGCTAACACATTAAAAACCTCCCACAAAAAGGCCGTGCACGACCGGCCTCAAGCAGTTGTCCCTTGGGCTCTGCGGTCACGCACCCAGGTCGTTAAGACCAACACTAATCCGATTTCCTTCTCAGGCTCCTCAAGAAATACACTTCCACGGTGTGGGCAGCCGAGAAGTGACATCAGCCCTCATACCCGTAACAGCACACGAGACCACGTTGGTCACATTCAAATCCTTCCTACACCTAATAACTCTCTTATCTCCACGACTAACCCTTCTTACGTCCCTTTATCACCTCGCCCCACTAGTGCGAACGATTCTAGTACGCGGAATGTTATTCCTGGTCTCCTGAAACCACGCTCCAAACTACACGTAGGAGCTTTCAACGTCCGAACACTGTGTCAAATAGGACAACAGGCTTCCTTAGCTAAGACTTTAGAATATCGCTCCATCGATGTGTGCTGCGTCTCCGAAACGCGCACAAAGGATCCTAGTAGTGTCATTCATTTGACCGCACCATGTCAAAGTAACGAACCAACTCGATTTACGCTTCGTGTATCTGGAAGCCCTGATGCTGCTTCCCGTGGCCTCACTGGCGTAGGTATAGCATTGAGTCCTAGGGCAGAACTAGCTCTCTTAGACTGGATCCCAGTAGACAGTCGTTTGTGTGCTGTCCGACTAAACGGAACAGTAAGGACTCGGAAAGATAGGGACACTCGTCGTTGCCTCTTCGTCGTCTCTGCCTACTCTCCCACTGACTGCAGCTCAGATAATGTAAAAGATGAGTTTTACAGAAAGCTTTCCGACCTTCTCTGAAAAGCTAGGCGTTCAGATGTAGTAGTAGTAGTGGCTGGTGACTTTAATGCTCAAGTAGGTAAACTATGCGAAAGGGAGAGACACCTGGGTGGATCTTATGGTGTCGCGGCTCAAAGAACAGATAACGGTGACCGTCTGTTGCAGCTATGCTCAGATAACCGCCTGTTTCTTGCAAACACTAACTTTAAGCATAAGGAAAAACATCTTTTAACATGGCGACCCCCTAATTCGTCCCAACGCTGGACCCAAATAGATCACATTGCTAACAGCCACCGATGGAGGGGCTCGGTAGAAGACTGTCGCTCATTCTGGAGCACATGCTTAGACTCAGATCATGCTCTAGTGCGAGCGCGTATTTGTCTACGTCTTACTGGATGTAGGAAAGATGGTACAAGGAAACCCCTTAGGGTCCCACTTGATGATAGTCAAGCTAAGAGTATATTTCAGGAACAACTAGAAAAACAGTTAGGCAGCCATGTAAGTGATGCACACCCGAGGCAGCGTGGAATGACATCCGCAAAGCTGTAGAAACAGCAGTGATGTCTGCAAGTACGGTAAACCATAAGGTTAGGGAGAAACACTGGATCTCAGCAGCGTCTACCACACTGATAGATGCTCGAAAACTCATTCCATCTGGCTCTGAACATAACGAAGAGCGGAGTCAGCTTAAGCGTAAGCTGACTAGAAGCCTACGCAAAGATCGTGAACAGTGGTAGGTAGCGAAAGCAAGAGAGATGGAAAAGGCAGCGGCAATAGGTAACAGCAGGCAACTGTTCAGACTTGTTAAGGAAACCGGGATTAGGAACCCAACTGTTAGCGAAACTATCCCCGTAAAAGATGGACATATTATTCATTCTCAATTTTAGGAGATTGGATCGATGGGCAGAACACTTTAGGGATCAGTTCAACTGGCCTTCAGCCACACTTCGGTTTCTCACGATCTCCAATCTACCTGAATGGCAAATTAATGTGAATCCTCCGACTCTTTACAAAGTTGAAAAAGCTATAGGAAATCTGAAGCGTGGGAGAGCAGCAGGCCCTGACAGGTTTACCCCTGAGATTTTTAAGGATGGCGGTCCAGTATTAGCAGCGAGATTGACTCAGGTCTTAGGTAGAATCTAGGAACTGGACGTAATCCCATTTGACTGGTCTCAACCACTGATTGTGACAGTCTATAAGAAAGGACAAAAGTCCTCATGTGACAATCACAGAGGAATCAGTTTGACTAATATAGTGTCTAAAATATTAGCTTCAATAATACTTCGACGTCTAACCAAAGCTCGTGAAATGCAGACTAGAGGAAACCAGGCTGGTTTTCGACCTGGACGTGGTTGTATTGACCAAATATTCACACTATGTCAGGTTCTAGAACAAAGACACACATTCAGACGCCCCACAATGATAGTATTTTTCGACCTTAAGGCGACATTTGACTCTGTTGATCGTGAGGTTCTATGACAGTTTTTGTCACTGAAAGGAGTACCAAAGAAGTACATTAACCTTATAAAGGCTCTCTACTCGAACACAACTGGTCGAGTGAGAGCTTATGGCGAACTGTCATCAGAACTGATTACCTCAAGTGGTGTTCGTCAGGGCTGTCCACTCTCTCCATTCTTGTTTAACTTTGTTGTTGACGTCTTTTTAGAGATGACACTTCCCTCATCTAAATTTCTAGGAGTTGAACTTTTACCGGGAGATTCACTTGTTGACTTAGAATATGCCGATGACATAGTTCTATTTAGTGAAGACGCTGACAAAATGCAGAGTCTGCTGACCACTCTAAGCAACAATGCAGGCATGTTCAGCATGCGATTCTCTCCCTCGAAATGCAAAATGTTGCTTCACGATTGGGTTGCGTCGACACCCGAATTAGTGATAGAGAGTGAAGTTGTTGAGCGTGTCGACCGCTTCACTTATCTGGGGAGTCTCATCAGCCCTTGTGGTCTGGTGTGTGACGAAATCTCAGTACGGATACAAAAGGCTCGACTAGCTTCTGCCAACTTGCGTCATTTGTGGCGTAGGCGAGATATCCGTCTAGTAACCAAAGGACGAGTTGACTGCGCAGCAGTTCGTTCCGTCCTACTTTATAGTAGTGAAACATGGCCGATAAGAGTAGAGGATATTCGTAGGTTACTAGTATTTGATCATAGGTGTCTTCGAAACATTGCTCTTATATCCTGGGACCACCGAGTAAGTAACTCAGTTGTTAGGAAACGGGTACTACGTAAGGATGGCAAGTCAATTGACAAAGTAGTGAAACTTAATCAGTTGAGATGGCTGGGACATGTGTTGCGCATGCCAGACCACCGACTGCCACGACGTGCGATGTTTTGTGGTGTAGGAATAGGTTGGAAGAAAGCTAGGGGCGGCCAGACCAAAACATGGCACAAATCCACGAAGTCACTGACAAGTGGACTGAGCCATGTTGGTAGATGTAGACTACTTGGTTGGGGACCGCGAGATGATAGCAACCGGTGGTTAGAGACCTTGAATGACAAGGCTGAAAATCGTTTGCAATGGCGCAGGTGCATCCACTCTGTGTGTTCTCCCAAACTCTAATCTTCTAAATTCTCCATGTCCTTTATTTTCTTTCCAAATACATTCCACTGGACTATACTCCTTAAATAACATCATCAAACCTTAACGTTTCTTGTCACTACTTATACTTTCATTACTCTGCCACTACGGGATTTGAGACGATAACTGAATCTCTGTGCTAATGTGGTATGGCAACTCGAACTGATGTACGTACGTACGAAGTTCCACGTTGTTTCTGACTGACTGACTGATTCAAAGTAAAGTATTATTTATAGAGTAAGAATACATTTTATTAGTCAGTATGATTAACTGTCAAGGCGATTTACAGTTTATTGATCAATGGGTGGTGACCAATATCATGTGTGTCAGGCCCTTCTCAGTGTAGATCGAATCCTATCGACCAAGTTCCAATGTGGCCACTAGTCTAGGTGACTCGACATTGAATGCACCATTTTGAGATAAGATGGTGGTTGGAGGTAGTCAACAGGAAACCCTGGGTTTCGTTTTACTTGGCACTTGTCAGCAAGGTGTCCCTGTAATCTTGAGGGATATGATTCGATCTGCACTGGGAAGGACCTGACACACGTGACGTTGATCACCACCCAGTGATCAATCAATTGTAAATACATCTCAGTCCTACAGTAGGTCAGTCGCGACCGGGATAGCCCAGTGTTAGCGCCTCTAACCATGAAGCTGAGGGACACGGGATCGAATCCGTCAGGGAGTATCAGTTCCCTCATGATTACAGGTACACCTTGCTGACGAGTACCAAGTAACCCGAAACCTAGGTCCAGTGTCTCCTGTTGACTACCTCCAACCACCATCTTATGTCAACACGATGTTGATCTAATCATGTAAATGTATTTTATTGTTAATTATTGACATATGCACTAAGAGTGCAATTTTATTGAACTTTCACATAAATATCATCGACAGCTGATGAAATATTTGTAAAATTTATTTAGAAGAGAAAAAGTACAGAGATTTGACTGAGATGAGAGTTTGATTGTTTCCAAAGAACAGAAAGGTTTACCATTGGGTAAATGTGTAAAATGTGAAATATATTTTTTGAAATTTTACTGTAAATTGAGCAAACAGGTAACTCGCCTAGCAAGAAATCGGCTTTTTTCGCTTATAAAGTTTAGTTTTAGTAAAAGAAGATTCCGGTGGTACGATGTTTGTAGAGCTTCACGATACAATCTTTATATGAAATAAAGTATATATAAAAACTAGGAGTGAAAAATATTATATCGACCTTTTAAAAGTATCTCATTATTAGTATTGTCCATAACAGTCCGGTAACACAGTACCAATTTGTGTACTTAACGCTAAGCCATAATATATTGTACGTGTGATGAATTGTGATATCACTCGGCAGCTTAAACCCACTTAGTCGTTTAAAAAAAAATAATTTTATGCCTGTACAGCATATTTTAAATATCAAAGCAATTTACTAGGGGTACAATAAGTTATTTGACTTAAATGATCTATAGAACGCCCAATAATAATGGTTCTTAAACAAAGACTTCCCTTACGAAGCGGTGATTCAGTCGATCGAGCACTAAACTATTAAAAACATAATTGAAAAAGTTTAGGGCAACCTGTGTGAAAAGTTTACGTACAGATTAAAAATTCGAAAACTCACAGCTTTGAAAGACCGTATTATACATTTATGCTGCAAATCCCATATAACCACACTACCATCCATATCATACGTTACTAGACGATAATTGGCTAAAGTTGACAGTGAATTACTACTTTTCTGTATTTTATCAGAATACCTATCACTTCTCATAAACAATCGCAGGTTTATTGATCCAAGACGATTGTACGACGATACTTTCTTATTTTGAACTTTTCCCGATGTTGATGACGATGCTGCAAACTGTTGTATTTCAGAAGAAATTCCAAAACCACTGCTAAGTAAACTGAGATCAATTAAACGTATTTCAAGAGATTCTGTTTGATTTTTAGCCTTGAGATTTACACCATTATTGGTTGTCGTCTTGTGAAGTAATTCTAAACAACAAACGTATAATGATCCAGATGCATGGCTGACACCAAGAGCAAGCTAAGAGTAACAGAACAAGTGAGCAGGTATAAATTAAAACAAACAATTGAGAATAAAACTCGAAACAACTATTTTATAATATAATGCTACTGAGAGAGCTTAGACAAATTTTTCGAAATAGGTACCATACATTTCACCAGCTAGCTAGCTTGATAAATAACTTCAGTGAACATTAATTACATAGAGTGGAGGCTATAGCAAACATTATTTCTCTCGATCGTAGTCATGAAATTATTCAATTCAGCAACTTTATTTGTTTTGAATAAAGGAAATTAAATCGCTGAAAGATTCCTATTATATTAAAACATAATTATATGAACCAAGAATATTCTTTCCAATGAATTTTTCATCAGGTTCTACAATTATCTCATATCTAAATTAATAATCCATAAAATTGGCCAGATTTAAAGCATTTGGAAATTGTAATATGTGAATCAAGAATTGTTTATCGTATCAAATCAAATCGTTAATGTTGGGGCTGACTAATATAAAGTGCTAACGTGAATCAGTTTATAATTGATGTACTCTGCCTTAAATCTGGACAATTTTGTGGATTATTAATTTGGATTTATAATTGTAGAACCTGATGAGAAATTAAATCGTTATTAAACACTAAGATCAACTACTATATATATATATATATATATATATATATATATATATATATATATATATATATATATATATATATATATATATATATATATATATATATATATATATATAACTAATCAATTAATCAGTGCAAAAACCGATGTGGAAAATTACAAAAGTACTAATACCTACTAGTTCGAAAGTGTATATCAACCAAGTATACCACCCATTTACAATATCGAATTGATTGGTTTTATAGCCATTTCACGTAGAACAATAACAGTAATAATCAAACAAACATATATAAACTTACACGATTTAAGTTCATACAAAGGACAGGAGTAGCATCAACAGCGCAGTGAAACAATGGAGAATCATACTCAGAAGAGAAAAACTAAATTAGAAAATATACACAATTAGTGAGTAAAATTGAATAGTAAAAACAGTAGTGTCACATTTGATTATTATTATTATTATATAATTACATGATAATCGGTTCCTATGAATAAACCTTTTCCTAAAGAATCCCACTCTAAATGAGGTTGCAAAAATTCGTTGTAAACTACTACTGTGGTGTGGGTTACTTATATCCACATAAGTAGTATATGACGGTGGTCAGACATAGAATGTATTTTAGTAGAAGATCGATAAGGAAAGAATGGAGACAGAACGCGATTGGTATGAAAATGCATGAACAATGAAATCTGAGACAATGGACTGATAGTTGCAAAAGGAACAGTCAAGTTTGAGACGATGGATTGACATTTTGCAAATTAACTATTTACTATATGGTTCTCAGATATTACTGAGATGCTCTGTAATTTCGTGTCGAATACATTCGATCAGCCTCACTCGTATTCTTGTTCACTACACTACTGTCTCCAGTTAATTTTAAATGATTTGGATTATTCCGTTGCTGATATTTTGATTAGTCTTAGTCGGTAGAGTAAAATACAGCTATTATGTCTCAGATTTATATGGAATAGACAGAATATGACTAGCAGTGAAGTCTAGGATGAGCCTTCCATGCTATTTGGAGTTCATCAGTAGGATGTATCTGCATCTCAGGTGGACAAGAACTCCAGGATAGAGGTACATCCGGATAACCCTGATTGAAATTCGACTGTTCAATGAATGAGCCAGCATTTTTAATACTGAATACACTGTATAAATTACACTAAATTGAGTTCATCTAAAAATTTATATTTGTTTTATACTTTGACTTACTTTAATACAACCATCTTCTGATCCACTGATTACAAGCACTGCGATATGATTTGAATTTATATTTGTAAGCAAATCGTTGGGATTATCTACTGTGTTTTTGTTGAAATATTTCAAATAATCTAATTGACTAATTGCACGAGAATGTGAATGCCATTGACGAATTAATGAAAATGTTTGTAACAAATTTCCTTGAGCATAAACTACATTGAAATATGCTACAACACCACGACTAGTTCCAATACAAAATCTAGAAAATTCAATGGTAATAATAATAATATTCGTGATTTATTCAAAACCATATATTTTTAATTATTATAAAGAATTCGCGGCACAAAATATCCAAACTTGCCAAGAAATTCACATTTACAAAACAAAAAAAAAAGATTTACCTTGTAAATATTCCAAAATGGATATATGATAAATTTTTTAAAAAGTGATTAGTAATGGGATTGATATTCAGCTATAGATCATTTTGATCAGTCGTCCTACCATGATTTTTTTTTTCATTGTCAAACATATTTGATGCATGAATTCTAAATCATTTTCAGTAAATAAATTCATTTCAGCTTACAAACATTCTATGAAGGTGTGTGAGTGAACACAGTTAAACCAGATAATGAATCCAAACAAATTTAAAGCAGGTTAATATATGGTAATGTACGTTACAAATCGATTTAATTCACATTAAATTGTTTGTTTATGTTTGTTGTGCCCCGATAAGTATAATGAATGGTAACTTTTGGGATCTATTTATGGACGAATACTATGAGTATATTTTTATCGTATAATTGTTAAATAACTAAACTATTCATATTCATGTCCCTCTTGTCATAAGCTTTATTTTGACCTATGAATTATTACTATACAATTTACCATTCTTGAATTATACCGTCTATTAATTACTACCTCCCTCATTCACAATCACATATGGCTAATTCTTGTACAACTGTTGTTTCATATTTTATGGTACAGTATGGTCTGTCTGGTTGGTACATAAACCCAGTATGCTTGAAATAAATGATTCATATTGCAGAGGCTGAGATTGGTATTCTGGACTTAACTGGTTGGGCTAGGCCGAAAGCAGGATCAATCAGGACTCTTGACTGCTCGCAGGTGTTTAATGCGTCATTGAACCGATGGATAATTCTTTGCTCTCTAAATGGCGGTATCGTTACGTTATACATTAACAGGACACATAGGCCACGATTTTGACATGCGTAATTTAGAACAGTATTTACAATGATAAAAGAAATCTAGACCGAGATATTCTTTAAGGAAAAAGAAACACAACTGATTTCCTAGTGACATTTACCAGATTTATTTCCATTGAAAAAAAAAACTTTCTTAAAGTTTTGAAAATACTTTTTAGTATTTTAAAATCTGGTGAACGATGTGAAGAATTAAGGTGATTGTAATATATGTATATATATAAATATATATATAAGGGAAAGATTTTATGTAAGGATATAGTACAGAAAGAAAGAACTAGATCGTAGAAACAAAGATATGAAGCGATTTTAATCTCATAGTTTAAGGGAAGACAAAGAGTGTATACACCTATGCCATTGTGATGGATTCTGAGCAATATCACCCACAGTCTCTAACCATTGGTTACGGGAAAAAATAGTAACTGGATGAGAAAAATAAATAAGAGATTTTAACAATTAATGAAAATGGAACAAACTTTTAGAATTTTTTATATGATTACTAGTTACCTTGATTCATCAATTATTTTCATTATTGTTATTCCTCCAGGATGTATCCTTAAATGTGAAATAGCAGATGAATTTTGTGTTTCTTTCTTGACCAATAAGTGATCATTATTAACATTGTTTAAGCATAAAATATCTAACAGTTGTCCAGATTCACAGTTCCAGATCTATAAAAGAAAGGTGATATAAATACATACATGAATGTATACACATAGTCACTATCTAATATTAACTGCATGTGTTCTAACATTTTTCGTTGTACTTCTAAAAGAAGAGTATAAAATAACTTGAAAATTTAGTTTTATCACAAATGAACATAAGTAGATGGGTAGACAATATACTTATGACATCATGTGACTAAATAAAAAAGTCAGGAAATCAAGATAAGCTTGATAAATCTAGAAGTCAGAACTGACAAAATAACTCAGTTTTTATAGCAACAACTATAATCTTGGGTCATATATCAAAAATTACAAACCAAATGACGAAGCAAACGATTAAAGAATATCAAAAACCAGTGAGATTATATAAATTGACGTAACGTTCTCAAGGCCTTTCTTGCAGGTCAGAATTATGATTAGTTGATAAAAATAAAATAATAAATGCGTTAATGTATCATAACGCATATCCACATCACTTCATAATATCAATTAGCAAATATATTTTAATATTTTAACCTACTTGAAAAGTCCACGTATTACAATATACATGTATCCTTTACCATTTAAACATTTTAATTGTAACTGTATTAAACTTTTATTTTTCTGTATTTTTCACTATGGTATTTAGAATGATTAGTTAATTTAATAAATTTAGATTAATAACAAAGTACATAATTTACGTATTATACATTTAGTAACACTTTTTATCATACATGAAAGGGTAAGAGACACAACCTGGTTGTCTGAACCATTTATTTAATTCAGAGGTAATCTTATAGATGGGATAACGTTCTCACTGATATATTATATTATCAACCATCAGTATGGATGAAGTATATACTGGATCAGTCCGTTTCAGCAATCATCCATGTGCAACATTAATAGATTGTTACCATGATCAGTAACATTGAGTTCTTGATTTATTCAAAAGAATCAATAGTTTAGTTAATGTTGATATTGGCTTTTTACATAGATATGGCGATGATGTGAATAATTCACTTTCCATAATGTTTAGATAAAGCCGATAACGTTAAAATACGACTAAAAAGTATGCACGATTAGTTATTGAATATGATAGCATTTATTAGATTGTTGGTAGATTGGATTATGAAGACTTCGACATCTTAGGCAAAACACGGAATACAATGGACAGCTCAGAACCAACTAGACAATTTGGACTTTTCAGAAGACCTAGCCCACCTATCCAATACACACGAACAAATGCAGATAAAGACAGTCAGTGTAGCAGTAGTCTCTGCATCAGTAGGCCTCAAAATACACAAGTGGAAAACCAAGGTCATCAAATAGAACACGGAGAACAGCAATTCATTCACTCTTGATGGCGAAACTCTGGAAGATGTAGAGTCTTTCACATATCTGGGAAGCATCATCGATGAACGAGGAGGTTCAGATGCAGACGTAAAGGCGAGGATCGGTAAAGAAAGGGCCGCATTTCTTCAATTAAATAACATATGGGACTCAAAACAACTTTCAACCAATATCAAAGTCAGAATCTTCAATACGAACGTCAAGGCAGTTATACTGTACGGAGCCGAAACTTAGGGAACTACAACAACCACCATCAAGAAGGTACAAGTATTAATCAATAGCTGTCTACGCAAGATACTCAACACCCATTGGCCGGATACCATCAGCAACAGCCAACTATGGGAGAGAACCAACCAGCTTCCAGCTGAAGAGGAAATTAAGAAAAGACAATGGAAATGGATAGGACATACATTACGCAAACCATCAAACTGCACCACGAGACAAGCGCTAACTTGGAATCCTGAAGGGAAGCGGAAAAGAGGAAGACCAAAGAACACATTACGTCGGGAAATAGAAGCGGATATGAAAAGGATGAATAAGAACTGGAAAGGACTGATCAGGACAGGGTTGGATGGAGAATGCTGGTGAGCGACCTATGCTCCTTTATGAGGATTAACAGGCGTAAGTAAGATTGTGTAAAGAAATAACTGATGTAAACATTGCAAGGAAATATCAGAGCGAACGTAGTTTGAATGATTTATCCTATCATTTCACCCAGTAAATTATATCTAATCGAAATTGGGAATCCCGACCAACAAAGAAGACTAGGCTACAGATTCTGAATTCAACTTTACTCACTGTAATGCTGTATCAGTCAGTTAGCCGCAACGTGGAATATGGTACATATGTACATCGTGTTGGGATATTCAGAAAAATATCCTAAAATTTATCCTGTTAAGTCTAATGCTATCCCTCGACTTGGAATGGTATCGTTTCCCTACTGGTCAATATTTATTCCACGTGTCATTTTCCTGTTGGTCAAATCCTGTACAAATGTTATTTTCTATTTTATGGTACGATGTGTTCTGTTTGATTGGTATATAAACTCAGTATGTTTGAAATATAATGATTGATATCGCAGAGGCTGAGAATTGTGTTCTGGACTCAACTGGCTGGACTAGACAGGGAAGCAGGGCCAATCAGAACTCTAGGCTGTTCTTACGTGTTTTACGCGTCTTTGGTCCGATCGGTAATTCGCTGCCCTCTAACCCGCGCGGTCACAACACATCGTTTCTAGTTGCAACACCCGATCAGCACAGAAGGATAAAATTGTAAAGTAGAAACCCAGGGTAGTAGAAGTAATAACAGTATGAGTGATAATAAGAAAGATTAGGGATCGAAAATATGACGCGAAAAATACAAATTAACGAAATAAAAACAAAAAATAAAGAATTCAGAAGCTCACAATCTGAGGTAAAACAAAGAATGGATGCACCTGGGTTACCGCAAACGGTTTTGAGCCATATCATTCAAAGGCTCTGATCACTGGTTGCGATAATCAAGCAAACTCCAATCAGGTAGTCTACACATATTAACACGGCTCAGTCCAATTGTCAAAGTTTGGATCAGGAGTTCAGTAATGTTTGCAAGGAGTACAACATAAGCTATTCATTCAACCACACAATTAAGAGTACATTTATTGATGCTTACCTCAATGGTCCCATCACTGCATCCAACAACCAAGAGTCCTTGCGGCAAGAAATCCATGCACCAGATGGTAGCTAATAAACATTTTAACATTTTGAAAATCAAATCATAACACATAATTCATACGCATTTCAAATGAAATGAGTGAAGTATACTTTTCCAGGTGGTGTTAAGCTGGGGTAATTAATTGAAAATGTAGAAGTTTGTAATCTGGGAAATTAATATACACATTCCCAATGCTTACTTATAGTATTGTTACACTGTCCTAACTGTAAGCTTGTATCTGACTCCTTAACTCTTGACATATCGCCTTTTAACATCCATAAATGATATCAAATTAATCATAAACCTGCAACTCACTTTTGAACCACAAATGTTCTAGTCATGTGTGTGTGTGCCAAAATTTATCATTTATAGTGAGTTGTAAGTTGTATGATATGTATTATATACAATCTTGTGAGCTTTTAAATTTGAATAGCACAGAACAATACTTGGTTGGTCCACCCAGTACATTCGGAGAGGGTAGTATTGTGCGAGGGCAATCGATCTCTAAAGACATACAATAGCTGAGCTACTAAACTCAGTGTTACTGGCCATAAGTAAGAAGATCGTTTCTGAATCCATCTTTTGCTTGTGACCACTGGTTGCGATTATGACGATAACCCTAAATTAGTAGTCTGAACCGACAAATAAGATTCAGATCAATTGTGTACTTGGGTGACATTGCATCTTAGTTCGCCTGACATTAGCATTTATATAACCAGTGGTTGGGATATCGCAATACATATCCTAATCGTCTCATTCAATGGAGATTCGCATACATACACCAATCGATGTTCCATCATAACCTAGTACCTGATGTCCAAACTCGAGGACTGCCAACCACCATATGTGAAAAAGGCTTCGACCCTATCCATTGTCAAATCTGGGAAATTAATATACACATTCCCAATGCTTACTTATAGTATTGTTACACTGTCCTAACTGTAAGCTTGTATCTGACTCCTTAACTCTTGACATATCGCCTTTTAACATCCATAAATGATATCAAATTAATCATAAACCTGCAACTCACTTTTGAACCACAAATGTTCTAGTCATGTGTGTGTGTGCCAAAATTTATCATTTATAGTGAGTTGTAAGTTGTATGATATGTATTATATACAATCTTGTGAGCTTTTAAATTTGAATAGCACAGAACAATACTTGGTTGGTCCACCCAGTACATTCGGAGAGGGTAGTATTGTGCGAGGGCAATCGATCTCTAAAGACATACAATAGCTGAGCTACTAAACTCAGTGTTACTGGCCATAAGTAAGAAGATCGTTTCTGAATCCATCTTTTGCTTGTGACCACTGGTTGCGATTATGACGATAACCCTAAATTAGTAGTCTGAACCGACAAATAAGATTCAGATCAATTGTGTACTTGGGTGACATTGCATCTTAGTTCGCCTGACATTAGCATTTATATAACCAGTGGTTGGGATATCGCAATACATATCCTAATCGTCTCATTCAATGGAGATTCGCATACATACACCAATCGATGTTCCATCATAACCTAGTACCTGATGTCCAAACTCGAGGACTGCCAACCACCATATGTGAAAAAGGCTTCGACCCTATCCATTGTCAAATCAAAGGTGTACCCGATTCCGTAGATAATAACTGCACCTATCTTCTATAGAAAGACCAGTCATACATTAAAGAGGATGGGGAAGCATTGAGGTTAGAACTTATCAAATGATAGTATCTGTATACACATTCAGTTTGTCACTAAAATTTCAAACATTTTTGTATTCGAAATCAACAGTGGCTCAGTGATATCAATCCAGATTATTTATTTTAACACATAAGTATAGGTACAGGGAGGCACCAAATACATATGCGCCACACGAATCTCAATTGATTTGTGTGAGGGCTGTGATACTGCCCGGATGCCCAAACCGAAGTGGGTGGTTTTCTTAGGGGGCCACACCCCGAGCCTTCGACCTGGACGTCTGACTCACAAGGCAGTGGAGCATCGTGAGGAGATGCAGTCCCATGGTAGCCGGTGACCAACGATTGGTTCATACGCCATTTGTTCCTTCAGGATACTGGAGCCCATGTGCACCATTGGTTTGGAGTCCGGTTAAAGCGCCGGACATTCGCTTTTCGTCCTCTCATTATTTTAAACAACACCCCCACCACGAGAAGGCAGTGAGTAGGACTTCCCTGGCAGAGGCTATATACGCATGGCCATGTGAGAGCATTTCGAGAGGGAGAGCGGACTCTCCCTACTCTCGGCCGTACCAGGGGGCCAATCCAGATTAAATATTAACTGTATAGTAAATGTCAAACAAAAATCTAGATTTAAAATAGATAAAACGGTACTGTGTTTTCTAAATGAATCCTTTGTTAAAACACATGATATAAGACATAAACATTTTAAAACATAATTCTTTATGGATTCAATGATCTCATGTTTTGTTATCTAACATAAATCATATATGCAGTGCATAATTTTATTTTATTAACTCAGATTTTTGAGCTTAGCTTTAAATCATACTGTAAGTTTGAGATCTAATGACACTACCCGGGTGCCCAAAACGAAATCTGCTGAGCAAGGTTTGAACTAGCAGACTTATTTGAAAGTTGAGTGGCCTAACCATTGACCCATAGCCCCACCAACGCGTAAGCATTAAAACTATAAAGACAACTAATTTTCAATACGGGATTGGCGTCAAATATGTGCTTCCTTGACTTTGGTCCCTTTATATGATAATAATCACAACAACGAGGCAGGTGTCACATACACACAAACAAATTAGGATCTAATGATGGACAATCATAGATACTAAAAAGAACGAAAAACAAGACATATCAATCGGAAGTACTTACAAAATTTTCGGCATGCGACAGATGACGGCAAGTTTTTTCGTCTAGTGTTTGCTTCTACTGAGTACCTAAAAAAGGAATCATAAACACAATTTGTATACAGGAATTTCTACCCATAACTTACAAAAAATAAGACTAATTATCATCGAAAATAAAGATTATTTTAAATGATCTAAAATACATTTGACTAGACAAGAACACTGGTAATAACAAGAAAGACATCATTTAGTATAATAAACAACAGAGGTTGTGCACGTATAATTCAGATAGAAAGAAATTAGTAAATCTGTTTTTGAATATCCTTAAGATTGTAAGACCAAATACTTAGATGTCTTAACAAATAAATTTAAATTACGAAATACGATTTAAAAGTCTGTATCAAAACTGTTGACAATTTGGAATGTTGTGTGACGTACTGATTTAGGATCTGACTAAAAAATGGGTTTGGATGGGAGATCCGAAACATAAAGCCCAGGTGTTTTAAATAGCTTCAATCAGAAGGGCACGTTCGACGCCAGATAAAGTGTGATTGAGGCATTAGAAGTCATTCGAAATCTGTTGGATATTTAAAGTGGACACGTGGAGAAAAAAACTCTTTAAATTCTTACAAATTATTCCTGCATATTTGAACTTAATAGCTTCGAGATCAAATATATTCATTTCACTGATACTGCTAGATTACGCGATTATAAGTTCATTGATCTATTTACAGGTAAAGCATACTGTTTAACTCAATTTTAAGGTTAATTGATGGAATGTTATTTTTCTATTGTCATATCATAGACAGTTTTTAATGGGAAATAATGAATATTTTTCAAAAACCAAGTCTTTTTCATATGAGTTAGGAATTTACTATAGAAAAATACTAATGCGTTTTTACTTATCAGTCAAGAGTAGAAGTAAAAGTAAGCATTTAGCAAGCAAATTTAAGTGTGAAGAAGAGCTGCTTCACAATAAATTGCATCCTTTCGATATTTTGTTCAACAAAAGAGATTATATTAGTAGAAATGTATTGAAAGTGCATTAGCATGCCAATAAACACGTTTCTTTAGCTTTACATCTGTTTGTTATAATAAGATGAATCTAGTTAGATGCCCTGCAAGTAGAGTTGAAAAGAAATGCCCAGATGACACTATAAACAAAGAACTAGAGTTTACGGACAGTATGTCTATTGAAATGAGTTTATGGTGTCATTTGAGCATTTCTTTTGAGCTCTACTTATACTAAGCTTTCTCTATAGAGCAATCAAGTAAGAAATGACAATGCTACGTAAAAGTAAACTGATTACCACACTAATTTTAACATTGGTAGCACCATAATAAGTAGTCTGATTAGAGGTATACGGCAGAATTACTGCTGTTGATGATTTCCTAAACAGAAAAAGAAAATGGTTGAACAACTAGGTAGTGTAAGGTCAGAAACTCGTTTTTTTTTCATATTAACGAAAAAACCGATTAGCATCGAAAAGAAATGTTGAGCAGAAACAATATTATGCGAGAAGAAACAATGAAATTCGCCGAATCAAAATGTAAAAGATAATCTTCGAAATCAAGATCTAGAGAGACAAAAAGTGAATAGACGTGTACTGCTGAAAATGATTCTCAGCCATGTTACCTAACCTCTCCAATCATCGATTACTTGTAAACTGTAGCCAAATGTTAATAAAAGTCAGTGATTACAGTAAATTCAATTGTTTTAGGGATAAACAAAAAATAACACCTTTTTAAATCAAATAAAAGATTTCCTGAGTCCGCACACCATAGCTGGATAACCCTCGAATGATATGATTTAATGCGTATATATGATCGAACAGATGTCACTGCTAGTAGTCCATGAGGACAAACATCTCCATTTTTATCTTTATAATATACTTGACCACATGCAACAGTCCATTCAGGTGACAATAAACAATCATGCTGATCATAGTCTGAATCCATTGAATCTGTTGTTGTCACATTATTTACAAGATCTATAGTTAGTGGTAGAACTCGTATGATTGGTTCACGTTTGGTAGAATTTGATGACCTATAGAAAAAAATAATGATAATAATTTTGTAGATCAGACAGTATAAACGATAGAGAAGTTAGTGATGACAGAAAAACAGTCAATTAAGTTTATATTGAATATTCTGTAAAGATAGTTGATATGCGTAATACTAAAACAAAATTTTATTGCTAAACTAGAGATAAAAGTTCGGTAAATAAAGGATAGGCTATGGGTGGAAGATGAACTGTTTCCTGATTCCTACACATCTTTGTATTAAAATCATAGATAATACTTTAAAATTTAGTGCATTTACGGTGAATCAAATTGATGATGACAGGAAATCTACTGTTCTTATAAAAGCCTAGGTAGGTTAGTCCGCAATATTATCTAGACTTGATATGGTGTACTGGGAAAAAAGATAATAAAAAATTGATTACTCGAGAAATCCAAATCTACTGATGCGCAGAACTTCCATAGTTTATGGACGATAACAAAAATTTACGTGGTAGCACAATTTCACTGTGTACAACGATAATAAGTTTATTAAAAGAAAACATTTCTATAATTATTACTCATATAATGTGATACAACTAGGTAGCAAATGACTGGAAAGAAAACCCAAAGTTAATACACATAAAAAGTTGAAAGCAAACCGCAGTTCCCTTTTAGAGAAAATAGAATTTTATTTGGAATTAGATAAAATATTAGATTATCATATTATTCAGTTGGATACGAACAAAATATAAAAAAAAGACAATGAATAGATCTATGATTAACGACAAGCTTTAATCCATTGACAACTTTATTCTAGTAACTTACGATTTCCTTTACCGATATAAATTGGTAATCTGGAGATAGATATTTTGATATACTGTCCTTAATTTACAAAAGCCATTTAAGATATAATGTCAAGCAAGAATAGACTATACATTCATAAAAGGTGGTCATTCTATCTGACAGACTAACTCGATCACATAGCTAAATAATAGAAGGATTAGTTGGTGTGTTAAAATAGGAAAGCATGCGTAATGTCTTCATCGGGAACCAAACATATTAACCTAGCAATTCAGAATCTTATATAAATGACAAGTATAGTTCCATATATGATATAACCATTCACCATATTCCCAAACATTCATCCCTATCTATCGTTATACATTCTAAGGAAGCCAAAAACCAATAATGAATGCATGTGTTGTAGCAAGAAGGGGATGCACGAAACGCAATTCATTCCATTTAGGACACGTCCTCTGGATGGATCCGTAAAGTATATCCGAAAATCCGCTGCTAACCATAATCAATCTATTCTAAAATGCATCTGATAAGATGATTATATCAACGATATCTCAAACATAATGCAGATATTTCAACAAAAATTGATCGAAATTCAGTCATGAATATTAACCACGGGGTAACTCAAATCCTTTCTAATAATCCTAAGGATTTAACTGAAGTGTGAGAAAAAGTAGACTAGATGCGAATAAGTCGCAAATAAATGTAATATAATTTTTAAAAACTCTCACAGAATTTATACCAAAAATTACCATTAACTAACCTGGACTGTAAGCAAATCATTCCCAAACAAGTCAGTAATAAGACCAGACTACAACCCAACAAACTAGTGCCCAGCATAGATGCAGTTAAACCAAGTCGTGCAGTCCAACCAGTAAAACCTCCAGGTGATGTTGATGATGCATGTAAATGTTTTCTTTTTACATTTGATATCAGTATATTATTATCATCATCATTTATAAAGTGTAAATGATTATGTTCATCCAATGTACGTTCGTTTTCAAACGATACATACGATATAGATTCTTTTCTAGTTCAAAGCAAGAAAATAAGATGAATAATTGAATAGAATATATGATGAATTTCGATAACAAGTTTAAAACTATTATGATGAAATACAGGCTTATAAAACAGGAGAAATAATATCAGCTAAGTGTTACTTACACAATGAAACATTATATATACACAAAACATGTCAAAAACTTTCGAAATAGTAATAATATTATTAGTTTAAATATGAAAGACGATCTCTACATATTATACCTATCAATAATAAAATATCTAAGCAAAATACTTTAGTGACCCGATATCTGACTCCAGGTATATCGGACAAATGATCGTTATTTAATGATTGCTGTCAAAATATACATCCTGGCTAACTTCATATATAATTATCGACTTAACTCGCGTTGGTGAATAGCGGAATTAAAATAAGTCAAATACAAGAAAGGGTTTCGAATATGTATATTTTGTACAACCATTGATCCAGGCAGATGATCAAAGGAACGAAGTTACAGAGATGTGATGAATGGGATAAGAAGTGCACACATACATACGCTCATATAAACACAGTCAATGTTAATAAGTGAATAATTAACAAGCTGAAAACGTGAATCAAGAATGGCTTATCCAGAAGCTAGAATAAGTTATATAAGCTTAACATAGTAACCGACACTACAATACTAATAAAATTTTCATAACTCTAATTGGTCATTTCATCGTCAGACGAATCTTTTCTAGATTTATTGATCATGAGAAGTCATCATCATCGAATCAGTGGAGTGATGAATCAACGAAATTGATAGTGATGTAGTTTAGCTACTGGTGAGACTTTAAGGATTTGTAGGTATCATTACCAAGGTTTGATTTGATAATTTCGAATAAATTGAGCATTGGGTTGATTGTTATAAATAAATAATATATTTGTAATATCCCAATGAGTAGAAAATTAGATTTTCTGACGTTTCGTGGCTTAGTGTAAGTCACTTCTTCAGAGAATATTTATTCTCTGAAGAAGTGACTTACACTAAGCCACGAAACGTCAGAAAATCTAATTTTCTACTCATTGGGATATTACAAATATATTATTTACTTTAAGGATTTGTTCAGTGAAGAGTTCGCTTTTCAGAAAATTCATTCACAAAGCTATACAGTTGGAAATATGTACTTTCTCCTCTATAATGGAAATCAATTATATGGTTTGAAAAACTTTGGGGATCAAGTAAATGATATTCATTATTATTAAACATTTATATTCTCTAATGAATAGAAAACGCAAATCAAAATTGTTTTCACAAACGTTCACCTATTAATTGCTAATAGCTTTATCAAACTAATAGTTGCCTTATGCTCATCATAATTATGACGTTGTTTGTTACTACTTTAAAACAGAATGTTCATACATCTGAATGCTAAATAACTAAGAGAATGTGCATACAAAAATACCTTGGAATGGTACTTTTACAAACTGTTTTGTAGAAATATTTTAATTAGTGATTTCCTACACAGGCTACAAAGACAATCACTCAAAGCTACGGTTCACACAAATACAAAAAATCATCCAGATTACTTGTTACCTAATAATGGAGATTAGCATCCATAATTTCCACGGACCCCCCATTTTAATGTAGGTGGAAATATGTTTGATATAGATTTACATATAGGAAGCTTGAAATGATGGATATTTTCAGTTTAGGTGGATGATTTTATTGTTGAGCTCTCTAAAAGAGACTGCCTAACATAAGAACTTTCATTATCGATCTGGACAAAACTATCAGTGCCTGCTTCATGGTGTTATCCAGAGCGACGATTAAACTTCCTCAGTTGAACAATTTAGATCACAGAACCAAACAACAAAAAATGTTACTTGAACAGATAATAAAATACACAACTTACTGGTCAGATTGTATATCAGACTTTTCAATTCCTTGATCTGGATCAATCATATGAAGCTTATACTTTAAATGAACTGGTTCTAACAGGGCTAAATGACAACCGACCAAACTCAAATTATAGTGTTTTGCTAACGATGGCCAGTACGAATAAGCTAAATAATTCCAAATAAACATTGTATTCCAAGTGAAATTGTTTTGTGTCATTTCATTCAATTGTAAATGATGAACAATATTGAGCATATTTATTTGAGATTTAATATCATCATCAACACCAACATCGAATTGAACTGAGATATCACGTTCTTGAAGAAAATGATGATCATCATGAAGATCTATTTCATGTTGATTCAAAGAAACATCCAAATGTTCACTAACAGGATCTTCTTGATCGACCATGCTAACATTTTTAATATTGAACAAATTTTCTTGGGAATCAGATTGAATAGATGAATTCACAAAAGATGATGAGGAAAAAACAGATGAATTCATAAAGGGAGGTTCACTGACAGAGAGCGGTATATGGTGACCATTCATATCACTACTATTAACAATAGTAGTAGTAGTAGTAGTAATAGTATTATAATGATCATTATCACGGGTATACGAAGGTAATGTGAACCAACTGTGTGACGTAAAACACTGTAATAGTAAACTACTTATGTAGACATATATATTGAGAAATAACTGGACTATATCCACAGCATGTATCAGAATCATAATAACCCATACAGAGAAAACAAACTAGAATGAATAATAACAACAAAATAAAGTTTATCAAAAAGAAACAAACATATATTTCTAACAGTTTAGTTGAAAGGGATCTGTGGAGAATGACTTAGGTTGTAGTCATCGCAGACTGATCACAGTTAGGGCGTGATGTATGTTACTTATGTTGTCAGATACTAGTAGTATGTAGCAGCACCAAAACCTTAAACTGATAACAATCATCTCCTCACTAGTAACTAGCTTCAAGATGCGATTCTTGAAGTCAAAGTGGGAAGCCGTGATTAGTGGAGTACAACAATGTCAGGTGTAAGACATTTATTCACCGCAGTCACGTAATATCATGAAGCGATTGAAGTTAGACAATAAAATCGTTGAATGCCCGATCCGTTTTTTTTTAGTTCAGGCGTTCGAGTGACCAAAGGTCTTGGGTTTGATTACCTGAGACAGGGTTGTGGATGCACACTGCTGAGCCGTCCCATACTCTGACGAAACAGCTGTCTAATACTTCCCAGTTTTCAATCGTGATTTATAGTGTGCATAAAACTGAATGGAAAAAGATTAAATACGAATATGAATGCTACGCCAATAAACAGAGGGGGTAAATGGAAATTTTCTATTAACACTGCAAATGAACTTCTACAAAATAAAAACGTAACGCCTACGACTCGGTTGAAATTACTAGATATTCTAAGAACCAAAACTTCAACTATTGTTTTCCTATAACATTCTCTTAGGTTAACAGAGACATTATTTCCCAGTGCCGTCAAGAAATGGAAATTAACTTATTTAAACTGTAAATGACTAAATTCATATTACGTCTACGCTATATGGAAAATAATTACCCGATATCGGGATTGTGGGGATACATGTATCACATCTGAAACAATTTAAATTCTCTTCAAGAAGTTAAACGATCAACCATCGATCAGCAAACTGATTAACTGATCAACAAACCATGTGCGAAACCAATTTACGACATCAAACAACACATCCAGTTGATGGACAATTTAAAAATTAATCCAGTAATAAAAATAGAGTGGTGTGAATATAAATATTTGTCAGTGATTAATGGTTACCAATGTGTCACCCCAAAACACACTGGTCGTAGATATACTGCTTAATGTCGCCTGTTAATTGACACTGAGATCATAACAATCACCGTGACATTTACAGGCATTGTAACATTATAACATTTACACACCTATTTAAACTACGTGGACTGTGCAATTATTTTACTGCAATCACTTCGAAACGTTAAGCACGTAAAAATTCCAGAAGGTTATCATTCGCATTGTTAAACACGATAAATAAAACACAAAACAGGCATTACTGTCGCTTGCATTCATTTAATGTCCCTCACCTAGGAAACTTACAATCACGCCAAAGCACTGATTAGTTATTTGCTACAACAATTCCAGTCATATTGCTGTGTATGCTACGTATGTTGACAGATATAAGTAGTATGTAGCACTAATCGGAAGTGGAATGCATGCTAACAGAAGATTGAGAAGATTCAATTGAAGAGGACAGAAAGTAATCGTAATAACAACAGAATTGAAAAAAAAATCATGAACCCTGTAAAGGACAACTGAAGGAAGATGTGCAAATTATGTACTTAATGTATGGTTCTCATATTTTCATAAAGCACACTGTAATTTTTCATCAAGCAATAGATTGGTTATCCCCACCAAGACTTCGTTCACTAAAATATGACACTATTGTTCTGGCAGTTTCAGAGAAGTCTTCAATTCACACAATATATTATAGTAAAATTACCCATGAGTAAACTGTTTTACATATTCACTAATTCAACGTACCAGAAGAACACGTTGTATAAGTCGAGATTTCGCCCAACAACGAAGAACGCGTAAACGTCGTGGAACATTTTGCGATGTCTGACCATCAGAAGCTAAGTATGCAGCTGTTTGTGCAGCTTATCCGAAGAAAATAAAGAGAAATTTGTATATACATGCGGATTAAACAAGTATAATAACAAATAAGTTATTATTTCTGTTTATATTTATCACATAACTACTACGGTAATCAAATTAATATAACAGTGAGTTAAAAAGCGTTTGCGAAGGTTTTGATGAAAATTGTAGAGCGAAATATTTTATTGCCTACACTCGAAACTGACGGTCAACTGTAATTGGTGAGTAATGAACTTAGATCTAACACGAAAGAGACTAATCAAAACACAGTATTTCTCATAGGACTGTACTAACTTTTTTATTCTCCATAATCATATCAAATGTTAGGGTTGTTAAAATTACGAGAAACAGTGATATATACGTGATCACAATTATGAAAACATTAACAAGTTGAATAATCCCCTATTTCTTATGTAAGCTAGATATTATTAAAGTAACGAAAACACGAATAAAAATGTTAAAAAAAATAAAGAATATTTGAGCGAACAATTGTTTTTAATAACTTCATCATCAGGCTCTACTGTTATAAGTCCATAATTATCATGATATTTCATAAAGGTCAAAATAAGCCATGCATTAATGAATTTCACAATGTTACATGTTAAAAGTGGTGAACGTTTGCATCAGTTACGATGTAATATCCAGTCTAGGTATCCGGTGATCCAATTGTGGGCCATGGTAAACAATGAGGCTGGATATACCTCTTCTGGACATTTTAGTTCGGTTTCCTGGAGTTGATCCGGCTATGTAGAGTAGCCGCAGTCTAGCTCGTTGAGGTCGATTCTTTGGAACTTGATATATAACAGAGAAAGCTTTATCTATTTTATTATGATGTCCGCTATCCACAAAGTGAGAAAGAATGATACTGTTAATCGATTTAGTGACCCCCTTTTCCCAACTATGCTGGCACATGTTCACGAACATGAAAGGATAAAGCCCTCTGAGTACGGTCTATGTAACTATCTCCACAGGGGCAGTTGAATTGGTATACGCACATAGAGGAACCCATCATCGGTAACCTATCCTGGATTTGTTGTGTAACTACTGGTTTAGCTGAGAAAATTATATGTAACTAGGCGGCGTAAAACGTCCTTTCAACAGATCTTTTGAGTCGACGTGTTAAAACGTTACCCGCTATGTCCCTTTAAAGGTTCAGTTTCAGATACAGGGGTTTTTTTATTGGCCGAGTCACAGTTCCTTTTTTAATAGGGATTATTATGGATAACCGTTATTTTGTAATGTGTTTTTTACTGTACCTATTCCGCTATCTACATTATCTTCAGAACATAATAGTTTGATTCTGTGGCTGAGACATTTAACCAAATTTATTTCATACTAAAGAAGTGTAAAGCTATGGAAATGGGTATACTGACCAGTCCATGTACTCTTTTTAAATATATTTCATTTTATGGAACAGTCTATCCCTCTAGAAAGTAGGACATGAAGAAAAGCTCTACTATTGTCGTTTACCTTTTCGCTGGTGAATTTAATATATGGGTGGATGTTATTGGAACAGTTCAACAGCTCTTGTTTGTCGATACTTTCGTCACCCACGATTAGTGTGTCATCTATGTATCGACAGTAACAATCTAACTTACTTAGAATGTCTTTCAAAGGTTGATTTTCTAGTTTGGCCAGAAAAATATTAGCAAGGATCAGGCCTAGGGGTGATCCCATTGCTACCTCATCTATTTGTCTGTAAAACTCACTGTTGAACATAAAGTAGATATTCATAGTACATTTCAACAGAATCTCCTTTATTTCATTTATTGGGATCGGTATTTCTATTTTCTTTTCTAGTAATTGTTCACATGTGTAATTGACGATTTCAGTCAGTGGGATGGATGTTAATGAACAAAGATGCTATGTCTAGTGATAACATGGTTTTGGCATTTATATTCACATATTCATAAAAATGTGCATTTTAATAAATGTGGATTGATTGGCATATGAATTTGGATATTTCACGAACGCTTGTCAATGTGCACTTCAAATGTATTTCACTAGAGATAAGTGTACAAAAGTTACTTGTCTTAATGGTTGTTTACTAAAGAAAGTAAGAAACTGACTTTACTAATGAGTGGACGAATGTGGATGAGATAGTATTACTGTTGATATTAAACGATAAAAAAGTGGATAACCAGATGTTGGATATCACATTAAAAGTTACATTAAACATGGGATAACCCTGGTCATTAACCACACATTCAGGTATGAAGTAAAGTAAGCCTTGCAAAATAAGTACTTGCTTTATTGTTTCCAGGATGACACTACGACTATTGGCATCGAACAAAATTTATTGACCAAGGAATATGATGAGATCGACAAACAGGGTAATGTAATACAGTGTTTGGTGTTTGTGGTATACTAAATGTTTAGAGATTATTAAAGTCATCAACATATTATAAGCTAAATTTTCGAAAAGATGAGTATTTCCTAGCTAATTCAAATATATGGCGCTTACCGTCGCATGTCAAACTTCAAAGACAATTCGTTTTCATTGTGACTGCTTCTTACATAACTGTATAATCTCTTTGGAAAGGATGTTGTATTTTACTTAGTAGTCAGAAGGGAAACTGTCAGTTTACAAACTATCTAAACAACTTTAAGCAAAGTTGGATATTGGCTAACAGTGGGATTCATGACGCTTGATTCATTCTATGAGACTCGTTTAGCACATACGCCAAGTGGGATTGAACAACTACAGTCCTAAACACTAACAAGAGAAGACAGGCCTTTTGCAAATAGATATACAATCCCATCAAAAACATCAACCAAAACGTCATACTGGGTTAATAGATAAACAGTATGCAAACTTACCTGAAACCTTACGCCTGTGTCCTTTCATAAAAGATAATCTCGTACGTCGAAAAATAGCCTTAACTGGCCTAAACAACATAAAGCTTAGGTTTGAAATAAATGATAATATATAAGCCAAATATTTGTTTGATATTTGAGTTTCTTTTTTATTAGACATTTTAGTAAACGATGAACTGGGTTTTTCAATTTTACACGATGATTCGGTCATCATCATATCTAAAGATGATGATAAAGAAGTTGAAGATGATAATGGTGAAGTAAAGGAATAAAATGGCGGAATCATTTGAGGTTCTTGCATAAATGAATGAACTGGATACTCCAACATAAGATCAGAGAGCTAGGACGTGGAAAAAGTGATAGAAATACATGTAAAAGATGAGCTATATATGCATAATTATTATAATTCTTAGTAGCAGTAGAATTATGTGGGATAATTCTATTCCATAAACAAACCAAGTGTAGATAGCAATGTTACGACAACCAAAAAACTTGAACTGGTGACTACATTAAGACTTTTGGGATATCGTTTTTTAGACAGGAAAGACATATTAAATGACTAGAAATATTACTGAACTATCAATCTTGCTTCCAGCACTCAATATTTGCGTAAATTATCAAGCAGAAGTAGGACAATATGCATATGGTCTGCACTAACCACATTACCTGTTTTTCCAGCTAATTGCTATAAATTACACCACTAAATGACCTTAGTTAGACAACCGTTGGAAACCAGGAAACATTGAGCAGCAATTTTTCCTAGTATGGGCCTTGGCAGCAGTGGGCATCGGCAACCCGACTAGGAGTCGAACTCAGGATATTTAGTCCACTGATTAGTAATTTAAACTGGCCAAACCTTTAAATTAGATGTATAGTTTGCTAACTTATTACAAAATGTGCATGATGCATTTTATTACTCACTTGATTGAGTATTAGTGACCGCGTAACAATCTGTTGTAGTTCCCCTTTATGTCAGTAGGACGTGTAGCAAAGCATATACAAAGTGAAAAAAACTACTGCGAATGTTTCTCATTTTATTTTATTCACAATTTTGTGCATCATTTTTACCTACTATTTATATCATTACGTCATACACGATTGTTCCGTCTTATTTATTCAATACACATAAATACTGAAACAACTGTGCACTAAAATATGCACCACACAAATAAAAGAAATTGTAGAGACAGAGGAATGAAAAGTATAGTCAAAATAAGTAAGTGAATAAAAATAAGTGAACTAGAGTAGTATGTAACAAAAGAGACAGATCAGCTAAGAAAAGCGATCAGAAAGAGTTTCTCCAGTTAAAGGAACTCATTACATCTTTACGAAGGATGTGAAAGAAAACTACAGTAGGATCTTCGTTGGCTTCTATTCAGAGCAATACTTCCTCATCTCTAAAGACACTAGGTTCTACCATCTCAGAGACTTCAAGAATAGTATCGTGATGGACCGGCATATGCTAGTTTTAAGGAGTTTCCTCTTATACTACAGTGCCACGTCATAAGCAGACCACCTCTCCCCCTTACTCACCCAGTCCCGGAGTTGGAAAACACTGCATGATGTGGAAGCCTCTGTCATACTATTTGTAATATATTTCTCAGCCAGTAAAGCTGATGTTTCAAAATAGTAGCGCCAAGTGAGTCATAATCAGTGTTTAAACAAACATTGCCGAAACTCAAATACGATTTACGACAGTTCTAAAAAAATGATTGTTTAATAATGTACTTGATGTTGGATGGGATTAACCCAGTTAATACTTCTTGAGAAAAATTTAAGAAATTATACGAATTATATAATAATTTTAATAAATGCTCAAATGCTGAACCTAACTTCATTAACTTACTTCCATTCGTCGGATATCCACCGAAAGAATCGTAACAAAAAAGAATAATTGTAAAAAAAAGTCTGTAGTCAAGCCGACGACTGCAAACAAACAAAATTCTTGCATTGTAGGATGAAATGTAAGAAATCCTAGACCCAATAACAATAATCCAGTAAAGTAAAGTTTTGTATGTGACCAACTTTCTTTGCTCAAACCTATTTTTATTTTTTTTAAAATAATCATAATAATGATAAAATAAATCCAATACAACATAAATTAAATCATTTGATAACAATATATTAAGAAATTTAGCTGGTGATTATTTATAAAAGCCAAAGGTTTATTGCAACAATTATTCATACATAATTCATGATACTGGAATTCGTAGTCACTAAAATGAAGTGCCTACAACATCATTCAATTGACGTTTATCAGAGAAACTGTGTTGGGGACGTTAGATTCCCAGAACCCACTTGGAAAATGTCCTAATTTTGTAATTTTATTTAGAAAATTTGAATTTTTTTGTTTTCGTGCCAAAAGCGCTCTTTTCACCTTCATGTCATATTTCCCACTTGGGAGAATCTTAAACGTTATTGGTCCGTTGCGTCTTTTAGTATGTTACTTTATAACGCTTACCAAGGACGGTTTTGTGCTGTATATATACGTTTCGATTTGTGTCTGTTGTTATTGCTCGTGCTTCTGGCTCTTTGAGGAATATACTTCCCCGTACAGACTTCGACTTCTCTTTCTAGTTAGCGGTGCTGGAACGCATCAGAATAGCTAGTTTGTTGGTCTTTGGTCACAAGTCTTTGTTCCGTTCGCAGACTAAGTGAACTCGTAATCGCTTTAAACATAGCAAACTGATAGGCAACATTTGAAGGACGATAATTGTGGGCTTGAGATGATTCTAAACTTTAAAAACTAAATTAGCAGTTTTTACACTGTGGAGTGACCTAGGTTACATAACCATTGAAAACTAGGAAGCACGGGATAGCTATTTCGTCCTAGAATGGGAATACTTGCCAGTAAGTATTCGTGATCATATTAGGGGTTGAACTTAGGACTTTTAGACAGGGAGTTCAACGGTTTATGTTTCTAATTTTAGTCGATTCCTCTGGTGAAGAAAATACAGACAGTTTCAAGAAGAAAATACAATGAACATTTACAAAATGTATGGAACTAACCTTCAGCAATTCTATATTTCACTGGGAGATCGACTGGTGTTGCAACTACAGACTTCGTCAAAACAATGACATTTTCAAACCCAATTAGAACGACTAAATAAGGGAAAACTTCGCTAAAGAATATATAAAGAAAACATGGAATACAATTGTTCATAAAATTAATAAACTATAATTTATCACACAGAGACGGAAACTTTCTATTTTTGCTATAATAGTCATATAGTGGTGTATGCTACGTATGTTGACAGATATAAGTAGTATGTAGCACTAATCGGAAGTGGAATGCATGCTAACAGAAGATTGAAAAGATTCAATTGAAGAGGACAGAAAGTAATCGTAATAACAACAGAATTGAAAAAAAAATCATGAACCCTGTAAAGGACAACTGAAGGAAGATGTGCAAATTATGTACTTAATGTATGGTTCTCATATTTTCATAAAGCACACTGTAATTTTTCATCAAGCAATAGATTGGTTATCCCCACCAAGACTTCGTTCACTACAATAGTAATGATTTAATTAAATGATAGAAATAGCTTATACGAAATTGACTGAACCAATTTAAAATGACGGAAAATGTCCAACATTAAAAATTATTTAAGATTACTTAAACTGAAATGACTTGAACACAAGCTTGTGTATAAATCCAGTCTCAAATGAAACGTTATTGGAAGCAAGCATACCACAACACATGTATGTAAAGGAACAACAAAAAAAACAAATGCGCAAAAGATCATTAATTTTGTAAAGCGTGAACAACTCTCAGAACTAGCTACTGAGAGGGAAAAGGGAAAAAGAAACAGATGATTTTTATTTTTATATTGGTTGTTTGAATCTTCCTATTGACGTTTAGGACTGAAATTTGTCGGTTTCTTATTGTCATGCGTGCGTACTGTGAAGATGGCCTCGATATGGCATTAAGTCACAAATACTATAAGCAGAGATGGATGGTGGCTAGGAGTGAGATTTAGGAAGTGAGTTTCGTCCTATTTGAGAGTTCATCTATTCTTATAACGACTGTAATTTAAGGCAATATCGAGGCAATCCGCACGGGTTACACATATGTTAATAAGAGACTGATCAATTGTATTCCTAAACGTCAATTGGAAAATTCAAGCAACCAATAAAGAATGAATTAAACTTCACTGCATTGCACAAGCTAGTGGCTATCCAGACTCAGTCGCCAAGTGGGTAACGCGATGGCGTTTGGAGCGAATGGTATCGGGTTCGAGTCCCGAAGCGGACACCAACTTTGGGATACAGGTATGTCCAACAGACGAGTCCAAATAGGACGAAACGCACGTCCTGAATTCCATTACTAGCTACTATCCATCTCTCCTCATAAAGAGGGAGTTTGTAAACTCAAACCAGAGATTATCAGTAGATTGTTCGAAAACAACTTCGTTTACATACGAACACCCTAGTTGTTATTTGGAAAATAACATACCGTTGATATATTTCAAATATATTTAAGCATACAATCCAATTTTAAATTGCATCTTTTTACGACCGATCTTGATAGTGTTAGGATGTGATAGTTTGCACATTACTGTATACATTGAGGCTATAAGTCATATGATGTCAGTTTTTTTCTAACTTCTGACCAAAAAGAAAATTAAGGGAATTTTTAATGTAAAAGTATAGTGTAGAAAGGTTAATAAACGATATGAAAGAGCGATTCATACACATCTAATACTAATTTCGTCAACCCCGTAATAGATGACAGAAAAATTGATTGATCTTATGATTAGCAATAGAGACGGTCAAATAGAAATATATAGTTCTTATTAAGTAATATCTCGTTATGATATAACTAGGTACTTGGATTCATTTCACACCTTTATGTGAAGGCTAGTGATACTAGCTGGTCATGGAACAGATTTGAGAAGAGTGTAACTCAGTGGTTGAAAGACAAATGGCTTAACTATTAAACAACTACTCTATAATATAACAACAGAGAATAGTAATAACTACTAAACAGATAAATATGTCAATAGTTGAAATCATGAGTCAATTGAAACTAGACAACCATGGAAAACCTGAAAGCACTGGACGGCCGTTTCGTCCTAGTATGCAACTTCTCAGCAGTGCGCATCCACGATCCCGCCCCCCGCGAGATTCGAACCCAGGACCTATCAGTCTCGCGCGCGAACGCTTCCAGGTTTTCCATGGTGGTCCAGCTTCAATTGACTCATGATTTCAACTATTGAAATTTCTAAAATCTCCACAAAACCCCTTCAGATAAATATGTGTTTGAAAGATACTGATTATGATTCATTAACATAACTGAATCGAAAATAGCTTTGTCGGTTTAAATATTTAACTAAAAACAATATAGTACAATCGAAAGAGTTGTTTAAAAAATTGTTAATCATTAAGGGTTACTAATAGGAAATAATTAACTAAAGATGAATAATTTAATCATTAAATAACAAATAAGGTTGTGATTTTGATTCTCGTTTCAATACGGAAGTGTTTCGTCCTCATACTCATAGTAAATAATATTTATCAAGATTTGGAGATGAAAAACGTTAATAAAGTATACAATTATCTCCGTGTGTATCGTTTATTGAAGACAAAATTCAATATAAGATCAATTAACATAGTTAACAGTTATTTATCAGATCTGTTTGTTTCAAGTATAAAATGTCCAGACTTTATTTCAAGCAAATATTTTTAAAACAGTTGTTTATTTTCATGAAATAATTGTTTGAGAACATTCTCTAAAATCAAAACTTAAAAATTTCAAATGCTACGACGCATTATAGTATCGCAGCCCACACACACAAATCAAGTAACTTATGTGGCGCATATATATTCGGTAACCCTTTGTACCAATATTCATGTGTACAAATTATTATTATTATTAAATTATGTTAGATATCAACATTCTAAGCAATGCTGTTACGCACAGAAGTGTACCGTGACTATGAAATTGTAAATCCTACTTGTTTTTATGCAATTTCATTGTACCCCATATTAGCATTAACAAAACGGGATTATCCCGAAGTACAGAAATCAACATAAAAAATTGAATAACTGGATATTAGAAATTACACATTTTTATGTTTACAAGTAAATTAAAACAACAACAGTTAAATCCACTTTAATCGACATTTTTCGATATTCTAAACTTACTTCAGTAGTTTATTGAAAACATACAAAATTTTAAATAAACTACAATATATCATACCTTCCGTTGAGTGTTGGCATAACAAGACCGATTGTTACACACAGACCAATAGACATAAATAATGACGCAGCGACAGTAACACAAGCGCTTAGAGCTAAACCCCATTTTGATTTGACCATTTCCAATTTACCTAGAAGTTATTTTTTATCAAAAACAATAATGATCAAAACAATGTAATTTGGAAACGTAAAATATAATGAACGAATAACTCAAGCAAAAGTCTGTTAGAGTAATTAAACCTATTCTCATTTTGACCACCTGTTAATAGTATGCAGAGCATTTTATCCCTAAAATTGGACGAAAAATAACATAACGGTAGACGAATACAACTTTAATGGATATAATCTTCAAAGTAATTCAAGTTTGTTTTAACCTGTTAAGTCTCTTCATTCGGCCTAGAGTACTCACGTTTCACTGTAATCTCGAAAACCACTTTACTTGAATGGTTCCCAAATTAAAACACGACTTGGACAGAACATAAATATATTCTAAAGCAAAATAACAAGTTAAAATAACAAAGCTTCAGTGTATAACTGTAACTTTACGCGGGAGTACTCTAGGTCTTTCTAGTCCATCCACTAGCGCTGATTGGTCGAAAATGAACCAACTAGCGGTTTCCCACGTTATTTTGTCTCAAATATCCTTTGATAAAATCTGTCTTGCCAACACACCCTAATAAATATTGAATTCACCCTATTACACTTGCTAGTAAAGTTCAAGAAAGGAAAAACATATACATGATTTACCACAATCAAGAGGGTTTATTAGAACCCTACAGCAGAGAGGACTTATGATTGTTATTTAACAATGAAATATCACAATACACCATAAAGGTTTAAAGAACGTGACTAATCATGAACAGGAAAATTTTGAAGTGTTTTACAACTTAAAAGTGAAACTTTGTCCAGCAAATCATCTAGTTATGAGAATATCAAGTTGTCAAAAAGAGTTTAGTGGAAATTTTATCTATTAACGTATATTCTATTCAACAGTGTTATGAAAAAGACGAGTACTTAAACTCCAGAAAGCATGAAACTAAGTAGAACAGGGTGGTATTTATTACGGTGAACACTTATCAGACAAAAGATAAGAACCCTAAATAGTCCCCACCAGGCCCCGTCTATTGCTTGACAAAATAAGAAATCTTACTTCGAAATGATGAGTTTTTACAAACCGAGGGTAGAAAAGTGAATTGTTACTCAGATAACTTAATGAATCATATTCTAGTGTATGCTACTGATGTCGACAGATATAAGTAGTATGTATCATTAATCGAAAGTGAAAGGCCTGGAGACAGAAGGTTAAGAAAATCGAAGAAAAGAGAACGAGAACAAAGAATGATTGGTGTGGAAACGAAAGAACAATAAAGTCTGAGACGATTGATTGACATTTTGCAAATCAAGTATTTACTGTATGATTCTCAGATTTTACTAAGATATTCTATAATTTTATGTTCAAATATATTTGATTGTCGCCCACTTGTGTTCTCAATCACTACAATATTAGTTAGTCAATGATTTAACCAATATACTACATTGAATTTTCGATGACACATTATGACAGATGTATAAAACAACTTACGAACGGAAAAATACACATAGAGCAATAGAATGACGTAGATAAAAAGTAATGGTGCATAGTCAGCAAAATATGAACGATCACTATACCAAACAAGGAAGATATGTCCAACTGAAGCTGTGTTTGATGTATCATTTAGTTTTCGAGTTTCCGTGCTAATATTTACATCTTTATGAAGGTTTTCCATACTATCAATCAAATAGTCTCGCAGTTCATAAAAAAATCTTGAAGTAAAATAAACAAGTAGATACGAACTTGAATTTAAAGAAAATATGTCATATAGTGAATAGATCAACATTTCTAATAATGTGTAGAAATCATAAAAATATATAGAGGTATCAACTAAGGAATATGGATCATATCTAACGTCGAAAGATGAAAACAAAAACGGCCGTATAGTATGTTCGAGCTTACTTTACCAAAATTGTTCATTCACTATCTTTCATAAATCTCAATACGACTCCATACTTTACATGTCTCAAGTTCATTTGTTCCATTTTAAGAAGTTTATTTAGTAATTAACTCCTGTACTGATATGTCTGTATATTGTGACAGCTTGAAAAGACACATTCAGATTAAATTTAGATATAACTTTTATAACTAAATAACTGAGATTTTTTATCTCGTTAAGACTAAGTAGTAGATAGAGTATAAAAAAGTTATTTACTGATAAACTGTTAAATTATTACTGGGACACAAAACATGACAAAAGGTTATCCACAAACAGGGGTTGAATTCCAAGAAGTTTGAGAACAGAAAAACTAATACTACAATCGATCGAATAAAGTTTAGATGGTGTGGAAATACAAGGATGTTTAAATTAAATTGGAAATAAAAGGTAATCAGTGATATGGGTGAGAAGTTGGATAAAATAATTTTGATTGACAGGATTCGATTAACAATCAGTACTAGATACAAACTATTGTTATTTCGTAATAAGCGCATGGGTTATTTCAGCGTTTGACAATCCATTTTCAATATCTCAAGCTTCTGAAACTATTTCAATGGCGACTGTAACCTATTGTAAGTTATCGCTACTCAACACAGATAGTTAAGAAGTATCCAAGTGGGACTGAAATTTCATGTAAATCACAAATATCATAAAAATTGGGCATATAAAAAATAAAGCGGTTACTTAAAATAGGTAAGGATGAAGTGGATTTGAGTCATGCATATTTATGTAAGATCAGTGATAATACGAAACTGAAGAGTTGATATACGTGCAGTTAAATTTTAAAAAAGAGAATGACGGTTGAAGCTATACTACATTAGATGTTTTAACTTTAGTGACCATTCATTTTGATAGGCTTTTTCTTATTGGGAGTCTCACTAAGAAAATAGCATGCTTAGATATAAATGAAATGTTATAAAAACCAAAATACTGTTTCTAAAAAGGATTTACAGGGTAACAAACTTTGTGCACTATTTGAAAATCCCAAACAGAACAATACTTACGAAGGTTTGTATTCCCGAAATACTAAAGTTAGTGCATATGTAACTGTCCGTTCTCGATTACACCTAGACAATTTTGACAATCCAGTTGTCTTCCAAGGTAATCCAAATAAAAGATCTAGTAGATTCCCTGAAGCTGCAAGTTTTATACGTGAAAGAACCGAGGGTTGATGGGACTGAATTACACCGAGACGGTCAACTAATAAGAAACTAGGAGCTAACATGAGACACCCAAATGTAGGTAATACATTTTTTATTGTTTCGGAATTTTCTACTTCATTAACTGCTCTATCCTCAACCTAAAAGAAAAGCAATAAAATAAGGTAACAGAAAAACAACCGTAATAGAATACACCACAAACAGATAACAAAAATTGTTATTTGTGAGCAGTATTTTGTATATTGTTGTGAACATACGATCAACTTCTAAATTTGAAGCAGTGAATGAAAGACAATTACCAACATAACTCAAAGTATGAACGTAAACACTCCAACTAAAACAGATATCAAAGGTAAAAAACAGATGAGTAAGGAAATTACTTATTTCTAATCAACAAAATAATGCAGGAATGTAATGGAATCGATTGTCGATTTCAACATCACTGATTGACCTGGGAACGATGTTTTGATTGACTGTGATATCGTTAGTCTGAAACGATATACCCATATGCGCACCTGATTTGAAGTCAAGCAGGCACATCAAAAATGAGAGAAACTGGGAACTCTAACGGATCTGATACCCGCCCAAATAATAATACTTTAGAATTGAAAGATACCTTAAGAGCCATATCCAGTAAATGAAAGGTAAATGAATTGACGATCAAGAGATCGAAAAATATTACAGCCAACGGTAACACCAGTTCTGCTTTTGATAGATTAAGCAAGCCTGGAAATATTACGTGATATTACAAAGACTAGGCAGCTCGCGTTTTGTCTCAAGATCGAACGGCAGATGGAAAATTAAAAAACACTAGTTATGGAGGAAGCCGATTATCTCCTAGCCAAGGTTCCAGTCCACAAGTTGTTATCCAGAACAAACGTGATAAGTGTATAAATACCTGTGATGTATAGATCATAATCGAAATTTAAACAATTCAACCTTCTTATTAATTTCGGTATTCTCATTTGTATTGTTGGTATGGTCATTCGTCAGAAGTGTACATCGTAATTGGGTCGGATCACACAACATAATAACCTTACGACTGTGAAAATAAACTTTTGTAAAAAAAGCTTCAAATCTGTAAAATGTTTTCGTCATTGATAGTAGGGAATAGTATAGAGGAAAAATAATTTTAAATGAAGTAACATAAATGAACTAACGGCCAAAAGTGTTTATCCGACATAAAAAAACATCCGGGTAGCTCAAATAATAACTGTTTACTAATTTCATAACATAAGAAAGCTAAAACTAGTTTGAAAGACTGCTAAGTGTAGCGGCATGGGTCACAAAACAAATCACTTTTATTAAAAAGTTAGTCTACATCAACGGAGCTAGTTAAAACAAAAATGCTTGAAGATTTACTAGATATGGCACCAGTAAAATTACCTAAGTTAACACTAATCATATGTGAACGAAACTACGAACAGCCCACATTGTTAACATGATAAGGTAGACATTTAAATATTGAGGAATATACCTGGAAGCAGATGTCATCAAAAGTTTGTCCTTCTGGTGTATTCTCATCTCCAGAACTTTTGAACTGGTGAACAAGCTCGACCATTTCATTGCTCTGCTGAAGTAAGTGAACAATAGTTTCATGGTTGATATGACACTTCGGAGCCCTTGTAATTATTTTTGAATGCATGACTATTTGAAGCATATAACCAAGACTTTTGTTCTCGTCATCATGGGTCTGTTTTTTACAAGGAAACATAAAAATGAACACCACAATAAACCTGACGTAATGTGTTCTAAAAGCACGGAAAGGATATTTTACATAAGGGATATAATTAAAATCTGAATCGTAGGAATACATGTTATAAATTAACTCAGAACAACGACTCATCAGAACAGTAACTTACTCAGTTGGCATTTAATAAATATGATGTTTTACGTTACGTATAACTAACTGACTGAAACACGGGGTAAATTTGGATAAATACGTTGGTTTAATAATAATCATTAATACATACATTCGACGAACAAACAGGGTTTTAACACACGAGTTAACTTTTGAAAACAAATGTATTCTTTTTATTTGGGCATGGATGAAATCTTCTTGGAATTTTCAAAAGAATTAGTTTATCAATTGTCAAAAGTAAACTTCAAAACCAAAGTAATAAATCAAGAGAGATCTAAACAGCAAAATGAAAACCTTAACCAGTTTGCGTGCAAACGATGTTAGCTAAAAAAAAACCATGTGCCTATTAGTGGTATATGTTTCAGTGACACGCAAATCAGTGTTGATGCAGTACAGAATGGAAATTAAAACAAATATATAACGTTTTGATGTTTTAATTCTAACTGCGGGAAAAATAACATGTCAAAGATTAAGACTTTCGGAAAAATATGGAAAAACCTCAAAAAAAACAAGAAGAATAGATTCCCCTCAACCCAAAGAAAAATCTCTTGCCCATTTACAATGACAACATAAAGCAGGGTTGATTTATTTCTAGAGACTGTAATAACGAAAAAGTCACATTAAAAGATGTAACACTGATAGATTACAAACACATTTGAGAACAAATAAGGTAAGTAAATGAAAATCATGATGTTCTGTACTCAAGGTTTATCAAGGAACAAAAAGAACGTTTTACGACCTCATAGTTTGCAATTCGCCAACAAACATCAAGTTATCTTAATTTCCAGACACAGTGTCGTACATACGGCTAAAAACTACTGAGAAAAAAGGACGAATTTCGGGGAGTACAGAACTTTGAGACAGCCTTGAAACCGTATTCTCAGTCAATTTCTGTTGTTTGATATCATTTTACTTTGATATGACTACGGTCTTAAGCGGCTGAAAATCGACGAACAGAAAATGGGTCTACAAACCACACTAGATGATGTTCTTGTTTATTGAAATCCATACGTGATGAATAGTCCTGAGAAAAGAAAAAAAACTAGAAAGTAAAGGTAATACCCTTATCTAAGTTTCTGAAAACTAGAAAGACAACATCCCGACTTACGAAAACATAACGTGAATCTTTGAACGATTGAAATTCATCGTCACGAACAACTGCACGATGAATCGGCACTTCTCTTACAAGTGGAAGTTGGGTCAAAGGATAGCTAAGCTTATTTAACAAAGTCAAACATACCAAAGAAATATCATAAGAATGCAAACGGTGGTGATAACAGGTGCTGGGTGTGAAGAAATGAATAGTCCATGATTGTAGTACACCCGGGAAATTTTAAGTTTAAATCGCTCCACAAGCGCGTCTGAAGGCAGAAATTTGTAGAAGAGCGACATAAATTAACGCAGGAATCCAGTCTGCAGTTGGATTTGTGTGCAACTAATTTGACTGTACAAGTGAATTTAAAAACACCAAGCAGTATACTAGATGAAGCGAATGTGCCCAATCAATCACGAAGTCTATAAAATATTATTATAGTTTACAAGATGGCACTAAATATGAACGCACCAATCGAAGGATAACATAACATAAATACTTTACTAAACTTGCGACATTTTCGATATACGCTCCTTATTTCTAGGTCAGATAGAAGACGCACAAAACAGTCCATTACCCACAATAACATTTCATTTGAGGAGACTCTGTGAAGCGATCAGTAGTTGTAATATTTATTTGTAAAGTTTGACCTTAAGAAGTTGGTGTCTAAGTTTAAAATATTGTATGTGCTGGGAGAGTATTGTAGTTGTAAATACATCCCCAAAATAAATAGCTCTGTAAGTATTCGACATTGGATGCTGACCACATTAGTTTTAATGGACTCGCCTAGCTGAAGGCGCTCGATCATGCATCTGCACTAGATCATAAGTGGGAACGCCGTGCTCAACAACCCCTGCAATCGCTAGCCAGCCTAGGTCAGTCGATCCTCGATATATTGATAACCTATCAAATATATCTTCGAACCTCTTAGCTTCTGTCTTTTGATTTCACTTGGTGAGTACTATTCATATTAGAAGGTGTTACTGGTTAAAGTGTTGTCAAACACCGAATACCTGTGACAACTTCGTAGGTGAACCAGACGTGATCTGGTACACCAAATTGCCAACTGTGAGTCTGAAGTAGCAAGTGCGATTATCTGTAGAAGAAACGAATAAGAGGAAAAGTGAGCCGATCAGTCAGCAAGCACTTAGAGTGTACTAACATTCAATAGAGAAAACAATTTATAAGAGCCAGAAATAACAAAGGAGAGTAATTTTAAGGAAATCTGGTATTCGAAACAAGAAGTTTGGAACGTGTTACTTGTTTCACGTCTAAATTTGGCGGAGAAAATAAGTAATAATTTTCGAGCTTTTACATGAATCTTCAATATGAGATCATCACATGTTTTACAATAAAATATGACGAAAACACTTCGACGTTTCAATCTCTCATCTTACAAGAAATTGGAAAGACGCGTAATCAGCTTATTACCAACACATTGAATATGTTTGATGTCATCAGCTTCAGTAAGATATGGGCTTGCTGCTTGATCAGTGTACCTTGTATATTTTTTGAAGTGGACTAAATGTAAATCTTGAAATCTAACTTTGCCGAAGTATTTGGAGCATTTGAGAAGTGAGAATAATGGTGAAAATTCGACAGTACTTACGGTAGCTTAGTTAGTGTTTGTTTGTTTTTACGACTTGAAATTGCTACCAAGCTTCTTTGTTCATGAACTTGTTGAAATGATGTTTCGTTGTTGATCTACTGGCGAACATTACTTAGTACGATATGCATTAATACATCCTTACTACAATTATTCTTTAAAACCAAACTTAGAGACTACTTAACTGGTTTGTCTAAATCAATTTTGCTGAGTTAAATCTAAATAGTCCCTCATTTCCCTATTTCTGACTTCACTTACTAAAGATTTGGATTAATTTCAATTCAGTGAATATTAGGCCAGTTAAATACAATCCTGAGTTTTTCTAAACAGTTGCTAGATATTCTAGCACTACTGCGTTTATCCGGTAACATCTATTTTATATCATGGTGGCTCCTCAATTTAGTAGCCTGGTATGTGAATCTAATTCGGACAACCGAATGAACATGCCAAGAACATTATTTTTTCATTTAACTATGTAAATAACACATAGGCTGACCCCATTTTAGCAAAGGCAACAATATGAATATAAATACGAATTGAGTAAGTTGAATTTATTTCAGGCATTCCTTTATTCACACAGACACTCAAATGTGAAGTGAGAAAGCGAAACTGAGAGGAAGAGCGGAGGAGAGCGTGACAACTCAATTTGATAGACCACAACTCATCACACACTCAGACACAAATAAACTGATGACACGAGGTGAATGGAGAGGGCGCTACACGCACATGCGCACATATAAAAAATCAAGGTCACGAGTAAGTAGCTGACAAGGACGAATATGACTGGCATACTTCATGTAACAAACTGTTATTTGAGAATAAAATATTATTATGAATAAATTAATTCGTCCACCCGAAGGCAGGAATAACCCGTGTGGCCGTAACATAGTACTGGATACTGAAATGCTATAATACTCTGATTTTGTCCATCACTACTGTAATTGTCATTTAATTCAATTAGTCAAACAAACATTTAAAAGATTTCCAATATTCAGTATTTTTGCCATAAGCTTGCACTAACCAATTGATTTCTTTGCTGTCTCTCCTTGTTTTTTCCAGGTATTTCATAACGTTCAACGTGTGGTAGTCTAGCCTCTCGACGGCACTATTTCTAGACAGCTCGGTAGCTATTTGTGGCTTTGTATATCTTGCAATTCTAGTGTGTGTTTATCTCAGGCCACTAGAGATTCCGGATACCAGTATCTATCGTGTTTTCACGAAGGAGGACAGTTAGCTGCAAGGTGAAAATTCGAAATTTAAAAGAAGAGAACTGTTTCAAAAGATGAATAAATAAATAAGCTGATCGACTGATGGTGCAGACATTATGACAAAACCGAAGTGTAAGAATAAAAAGGGAGGCTGAGATAACTATGTGCGAGATAGGAAGTGGTTATCAACATGTGTTAATAATAACATTAGTTAAATCACGGGAATGTATTAGGCACAGTTGGCCCAAGCGGGACATGACTGTATATGTATTTATCAAATCTCCTCTAGAAGCTTTCTACTGAGAGAGCTGTGGTCAGTTAACCTGAAGGGCATTCCAAGCGGGAGATACTCTTGATGAGAGAAGATCGTATCGTACTTCGGTTTTCGTTCTTTATCTACCTAGGGTTGCCTCAAGGAGTATGGTAGTGTCACTCTGGTAGAATGTTCGTGTTGGTGTGATTTCAAGTACGTCATATGTTGCCTGCCCATATCAGATCACTTCCCATTCTCCTGCAGCTCAGGTAGAATAATCCAATGTGTTGGGGCCTGTCTATTGATGGTTTATTCTGTAATCCCATCACCAACTTAGTTCTCCGTCTCTGTACTTGATCTAAGAGATTTATATTTTTTGAAAAGAGTGATGTGGCAACATTGTAAACTTTAAAACGGGTTTGTGAGTACGTTTTAAACAGTTTTGGGAACAACACTGGGGTGATGGCACCAAGGTGTCTTCCAATAAAATGAAGAGTTGCTTTTGCTTTTGCTACATCTTCTACTTAGTTTGATTTGGTTCCAAGCCTACCATCGTTACCCTCTTGAGACCGTGCTCTAAGCAGACAAACGGGAGCGAATTTCCATACATGATGTTAGTTTGTAGAATTATGGTCTACTTCGATAATTGTACTGCTCCAATAATAGACGAAATCTTAAAACTGTAGATTTGTCATGATGTAACTGCCTAATCTATAAGATCTTATGTGGAAGTCATAATAGTGTCTACCCTGACTCATCGGGTTGCGACAATCATCGATATATGATGAGAACACGTTGAAGCTCGAGATGGAACAACAAATTGAATGTGGAAAGAAATTTGTTACATAAGTATGACCACGCCTGCAAACGACGAGCCATGCAATCCAATCACTTGAATTGTAATTAATTGAATTTATTCTTACTGGCTTCCTCATTGTTGGGTTTTTCGCTGCGTTAAACGTTGAGTATCTATTTTCCCAGTTGTCTCGTGTTCAGCTTTCAGGATTGTGGTTAGGATCCAATGCCACAACAAGTTCTTCGTGTTAAATGGAAGAGAATTTTCATTACACTACATATCGACTCGTTACGTTCTAACTTTTTGTCTACCGCCCATTCCTCTGTTGGTATAAAGTTCTTTAAATTCCTCTCGCTTTCTACGAGTCTACAGATCTTTACGTCATTCTCGTCGACTAGCACCGCTGGGGTAACCTTATCTAAAGAAGACAATAGTAAAGATCTGGACTTAAGCGGACTTAAGACTATTTCCTGTGAAACGTTTGATCTCAAGACCCTCCAGCTTGCGTGCACTCCTCCAGCCTTCGCAGGAGACATTCTTTACTCTAGGTATTTTTGAAGCCAGGGCAAAATTGGGTCATCTTTGCAATCTCCTCCTCGGGGTGTACGTGTGGTAGTGTGGAAGGCTTTAACGAAGTCTAGGAATATTACGTGGCTCGATATCTCTTGATCTCAATCGGTCATGCAGCTGTCTCAAGCTATAAAAAAACCGGGTACACAAGACCTGCCTGCAGTAATACAACTGGTCTCTAATAGGGTGGATTGTTCCCCTCTCAAGATTGGGAAAAGAAAAGCTCGTTTCCATTGTCTTGGAAGTTGATGTGACTCTAGTGAGTACCTGAATAGTTCACATACTGTTGAACTGATAGCTCTCGTGAACTCTTTCAAGACTACAGAGCAGATTTTGTAAAATCTTAGCGACATTCGTGTATGCTAAGATTTTATTTTTCATAGTACTAACCGAGGACGTCATCAACTGGAGCTGAAGTTAATGAATGTTCAGAGCTAGTAAGTCCCTGATTTAATTGGTTAGTGAAGTTGGCATTAACGATCTCTTACATCTCGAAGATAGTATGATCTTCGACACTCGTGAATTTAAGAGCACGGGTCCTCTGGTTTGCAGGTTTTTTTAATTCATGAATTTGTAGAGATGTTTGGGGTTAACTTGTATTTTGGCTACTACATAGACCTGTAAATCGTTTCTATCGCTTCGAACTTTGGTATCGTTCCCGTTTCTTAATGCTAAGTGAGAGCTACGATTACAATCCTACAGCAAGAGTTGCCGGATATGTCAGGCTCTCCTTTTTCGCTTGTAGCAAGCATTCTACACCTTGCTTAGCCTAAGGTTCTTTTAGTCCAGGTTCGTGCTTTGTTTGAGGTACATTGTGTAGGGAAGCATTCTGAATGGTGACACTCACTATCTAACTGGTCAGAATACACTGATGGAGAGGGAGATGATTTCAATACACTCATGTTTGTGAAACAAAAATATTCGTTTGTTTTGGGATACTTAGGATCGAGGACGAGGCAATCGATCAGTGATAATGTGTCCGCTACTCCTCAAACATCCAATTTTACTCAAGGTCCTTTGCTCTTCTAAGATAACCTATAGCTTGCTGACTTAAGTTGTCATAGTTTGACCTAGTCGATGACATTCGATGAAGAAGAATAACAAAAAATAATAGGTAATGAACGA